AAACGTTTTTTAACGTTTTCTAACGAATCACGTCAACACGGAATAAAATACAGTAACTCCATACTTATAAAACATCGTAATTTACTCCTTCGTTACAAATGATTCTTCAGAGATTTTCCCATCACAGCTTATCTTTTCGTCTAGTCATGTTGATGCAACGACAAAGTCTGACAGAGCACATAGTATGCATTTTAATGTTTTACGCGTTAAAAAGTTTTAGGTATACTGACAAGGTAAGGATACTTTGTACTCGTAAATCGACAATCAGATATTATTTTACACGTAGGGTTGTTGAATAGTATTAAGTTTAAATTAAATAGGTAATTTAATTACATTTAATATTAATAATCCCTTATTTGAACCACTGCGGCTATTCCCCACCTTAATCACATCCAAATGAATAGTACACGCTTATAAAAATAACATACATATATACATACATACAAGTACTGGTCAGATAGGAATACTATGTAGAGTGACTAATGCAAAAACAATTTTTTGAGAACGATTTGTAAACATTAATCATTTTTTGATTTAAATTGTCATATTAACTAAAATGTATTTAATATGAAGGTAATTTATTATGTTCGCTGTCGGTTGTCACCGACAATCACAATGATACTGTTTAAATGATCAAGCAATTTAAAACGAGTGAAAGGAAAATAGTAACCAAAGAAATGCAATTAAAAATAAATTAATGAGTAAAATATGAACATGCTATACATTTTGGAACTATTTTGAAGAGCAAAAATTTAGTTTGATCAGCAGCAAGAAAATAAAAATCTTACATAACTTAGGTAAAAGTTATTAAACACTGAATAATGGGTGTTATTTTTTGGACGTTTTATTTTTTTATATATATATATTTTTTTTTTTTGCATACGTTGATAATAACGGCATGCATATTACCAGTATATGTATATGGTCTCGGCACTAGGTACAAAATAAATAATTTTCATTGGGCCGTTCAAAATTTTATATTTTACTGCGCTTTCGTCACCGATATTTTGATAGCAAAATTATTATCAATAATAAAATTATACATAGATAAATAAATAATATTCAACATAGGTATTTTTAACATGTCCTACATTGACATACGTATTTTGAATTATTATTACAAACGTTTACAACTAACAACCGAGAAGTCTCCGAGCACAGTAACTAAACTATAGTACGTAGTAAACGTACTGGACACTAAAAAATATAAGTAATCGTAATGAAAATGTTTTGGTTATTGAATCAAATATGACGAAAGGGTGTCGGGTATTACTGAATCGAATGGATCTTTTAACTCTTCAGAGTCTCGAGACGAGCATATTTGAAACGATAGGGTCAAAAAAAAATAAATATACTCTACCTGCAGTGATTTAACAGTTTAATAAAATAACAAAATGTATGAAAAAGATATTCAATCAACCCATTACCGTAGAATATATGACTAAGGAATATTCGAGACGAGTTAATCAAATGCGATACTGCTGATAAGGAACCTAGTTTTATAAGTCAGTTAAAAGTACTGGCAAGCAAACAGCTGGCAGACAATGTCGTCGATGAACTGGAAAATGATTTGGTAAGTTAATAAAAAAATGTAATTAACAACCCTGGTGTAAACAAAATAGTCTTTTGATCATAACATTATGGTCCTAAGATTTATGATAAAAATAATGCTAACAACAATGAAATTACTAATGTATTTTATACTAATTTATCAAATCGGTAAACGCTCGGTTTAGGCTGCGTGGACATCGGAAGACGTTGCGCGGTGAGCGATGAGCGACGAGCGTTGACAAAAATAAATCAAAAATCGGTAATTTTATTGGAGCTGTGTACACTGACTTTGAGCGTTGAGCGTCAGCGATGCGTTGTTTTATTTTTTAAGACGTCTTGAATTGTGACAAATATTTGATTGACAATGATACTCACGAATATGGACTATGAACTTGTGAGTAAAATCAAGACTCGACACTTGAAGAGTTGATTTGAGTAGTGGTAATGTAATTCAAACAAACAATTGAAGAGATGGGAGTCGATTTTTTGATCCGACTCATTACACCGAACCTAGTTGAAAGATTCAGTTCAGCAGAATGAGTTGGAATTCTCATCCCTATTAAATATTGTGGACAACGCTGATCGCTTGCTGTTTAGTTTGCTCTCTTCACCGCTCACCGATCAACGTTTATCCCCCACCGCTCAACGCTCGCCGTGTGTTTGTACGATATTTATACTCCGTGTTTTTCTCAGTCTCCGTAATTTTTTTCAGTGTACAATTTAATACTATTTTCAATGGTATTAAACCAAACTAGACATCTGGCTGACCTGTTATGATCAGTCATATGTTTGGGCACAACCAAATAAACAATTTTATTTTCATATTTCTCATTGGTATTTCGTTTAATTCGTATCATACTATAGCAGTGATATAAAAGTGACTCTCTGAGGTAGGTACTCGAATAATATTAGAAATTAAAGTGACCACGAACGTGTTAATTATTAAACATCTTATTTTTAGTTAGCTTTTACTGCTATTAAATGTCTAAAATGTTTAATTGTGAACTATGTTCATCACTGTTGAAATCACGGTCATTCATCATGGTGAACCGTGATTTGCCCGCACACTAGAAAAAGTATGACTGCGTGCTTAACGACGTATGAAAAACTTACATGGTGAATATTTATTATTTTACACTTAATGTATATTCATTATTAATACATTTTATTTGTATTTATTTGCAAAAGAATTTTCAATGTTCCCGCAAACCGCAACCAATATACAGATGGCGCCTCAGATTTTTGTTCCAGATATTCCAGTTGGTACATCAAATGCGGATTCCCATTCAATCAATTCTCGTTCTAATGACGAAATTTGTATGGCTGTAGTTAATAGTTAATTTTAAGTAAATTTATATCAAAGTTTCATAATGTCAATATTTTAAAAAATTTTATATTATACCTAATATAATTTATTATATAAATATATATATTTTTTTTTTAAAAATCTTACATTTATCACAAGTAGAATAATTTGATTTATTGTTTACTGTGCCAACAATAACGAGCTCACTCTTCTCACTAATTTCATTGAAAGTAAGTTCTTTTTAACATTTTTTGTGTGTTAGTTTTCAATGAAATAAAAATGTATGTAGGTTTTTAAATTTTTTTATATTTATTTACTAATTAAGAAGGGGTACACAAAATAGTTTATTGATTAAAAAGAGTACAGTATTAGTAAAAGTTTGAGGATCCCTGATCTGTTGGATGATGACGATTTGTGCTTAAGAGCAATAAACGATTACGAGAAAAAAATGAATATCGTGTCTGATAAGGTTTAAAAATATATTTGCACACTAACAAATATTTAAACAAAATTTTGGATGATGAATCAATTATTTATGTCAGCAACATGCTTTAGTACCGAATTTTTAGAAGAATAAAAATAAAAATGTTGATAAGTATCATAAAGTGATTTTTGTAAAATAACATTATGGAGTTGAGAATAGTTAACATAAAAAAAAATATTGTGATCAATACACTAGCAGTAGTCATTTAAGTATACTCATAGATTTTACAATAAATTTTCAAATTAATCTTATTTTTCACCTTTCTCCCAATTATTTGAGGTCGACCACCATTGTCCGAAACCTCCACTTGTCTCAATTTTTTACATCCAACTGCCCTTATATTATTCTCAATTGTATCTCCAATCATTCAACCTGTTATTAACTTCTTCCAGATTTTATCCTACCAAAACTATCAACAAACATCATACACCATGGTATCTCACCCAGTATGTCATTAATAACTTCATACATTACCTCGGAGAACAAATAAGGGCTTAAAGTCGACCTCTGATACACACCAACTTCTACGTTAACATTTTCTGTTACTCTACACAAGTTCTTAAGCTTTCATACATATCCTGAATCAAATTTATGTAATTTTTGGAACCTCCTTTCTCATTAATGCCCACTTTAAAACTTCCCTCTTGGCACTTTGTCATACGCCTTTTCTAAAATTATAAACACAAAGCAAAATATTTTTTTCTTTTCCCAAAACTTCTCTACTACTTGTTTAATTGTAAATTTTCAAATCAATAATATCAATAATTAGTAGATCCAAGAGGGATAACAGCTACTAGAGGTTATTTTTGTGAAGGCAAAATATAGTAGACATAGTAATTACATAGCTTAACTAGTATTGCATATTATAATAATTCCTCATTCAACCATACCTACAAAATAAATTTTTGTTCTAACATAGTTGAATAGTTTTTTGATCAAAAAGGCCACACACTCTCTACGTATAATAAATGTTGAATAACGAAAATATGATATCAATATTCTTCAAGAAGATAACTAAAGGAAGAGTAATATTGGATGCATTAGTATATTATACACAAATATGATAAATTGAAGACTGTCTATGATCTCCAACTAATTTTCTCTAGAATACTAGATTACAAATGAAAACAGTGTTTTCATCTTATTTGGTTAATAACGATGAGAAGAAATATTCGATTTTGTCAAAAACTGATATATTGTAAATTTTGCCATTTTTTTAAATTTTCCATTTGTTTTTCGTAATTCTTATGTAAACTATTAGAATGTTCGTAAAATACCCTTCATTAAAGTATCAATATGATTACATTTTATATTAGAAGTATCAATTAACTGTAATGATCGGAGCAATCCTTATGGTTGAAACTGTATAAATAGATGAAGATAAAAAATTGCACACACCATGATGAAAATAAAACATTCCTTATTTCACTCAGAATCAAGAAAAATTTGTTAAGACTTATTATTTTGTAATTATTTTTAAATGACTGAAAATATTTTAATTTATCATGATTTTTTTTTAATCAATGATGTAGAATTTAGAATAATGATGCACTACATTACTAAGGACTTATAACCAATTTGCTCATATTTTAATGACAATCAATAATCACAAATAAAAATGAATCATAAATTAAATTTATTTATATTTTAATACAAAATTCATATTTTTTACGGTAAAAACTATTTTACTTCTATTTATAATAACACAAATCATAATCAATACCAATAAGTTGGAGCAGCAACTCTGTCTTCTTTTATACCCATATTTTCCATGATATCCATTTCAAATGTTTTCAATGAAGGAGCGAAAGTTATTTCTGTTAAATCTTCTTCTCTGGTATCTTTTTCAGATTCTAAATATAAACACAATAAAAGAAAATATTTAAATAAATACTAAATACAATATATTATATAATATATCATTATTATTATAAATACATTATTTGTGATCTAATGAAATATTAATTTAAGAATTAATTATTACAGTGGCATGGAATAAAAATTTGAACACAACAATTATTAACAGTCCTACCCACTTATTGAAAAATGTAGTGAAGATTAAACTTAGAATGCAAATACATTTTAAAATTATTGTATTTTTAATAATAATAATTCAATGTATTCATCACAAAGAAAACTTACATAAATTACAATTCAAATTAAATATAAAGTAAGATGTTCAAGTAGGTATGTTACTATAGATATAACTTATTACTCATTTTAGAAAAAATGTGTAGATGCCATTGTTTGATATTCATCAATATTTTATACGTTGATCAAGACTTGCATTTAAAAAAAAATTTTTTTTACGTTATTTACAATTAAAATGTTATACAAATTTTGAGTTTATTGTTATTCAAAATTTAAACATTATTCAACTTTTGCGTTTATAGTTATTCATAATTAAAACGTTATACAATTTTTGCGTTTATCATAATTTAAAATTCAAAAGCATTTAGATACCTGTTTTAAAAGTATACAGGCCACAATTTAAAAGTGACTATGACCTTTTTTGAGGGACATAATTTCCCTATTCTGAGTTTTGAGTAGGTATTGTATAATTTTATTTATTTTATTTATTTAATTAAATGGGTTAGATAACCCAATTACATATTTTTTACAAAGTATAGGGTACAGTGATACAGATTAAATTACAATACATAGGTTGTTTGTAAAAAAATGGAAACAAAATAAATGATAAAACAGTATGATAATAATTAATCTTAAGAGTAATAAATAATAATGTATTATTAAATTTAATAAATTATCTAGGCTCTAAGGACTTTATAATAAAATAATAAATATAAAAAAAAACCATGATTATTATTTTGAAATTTTGAATTTCGACTATGAATAAACTAATATATAAAAACGTATGCACGTTAAAACTATAAGTATATTAGTATAAAATATAAATATTAAACATTTAACAACAATTAGACAAACACTGACGAGTGACGACTGGACAAATCTGAGCAAACTGAACACCGAACACAATAGTTGAATAACTTTCAAGGTATAAATTTCGACCATAGTACAGATAGTACAGTACATTATCAGAGTATCACTATTATTAGCTATTGGTAATTAAATTATTCTATTAATACCTTCTTATTAAATTTTAAAATAATATCTAATACGGGATCTCTCGAATAGGCTGGATACGAAATAAAATTAATTCTTGGATTGAATAAATAATTGAATACTACTAAGTTTTATTAAATAATTGGAAATTAATTATTACGTTTAATGGAATACAATATATACCGTTTTGCGTTATGTTTTGTTTAATAATATATCATTTATTTTGTTAAATGTTACGTTTTGTTTTGTGTTATTTATTTATTTATGTTTATTGTTTTCCGTTATAATTACGTTTACAAATTTCAATCATTTTTTTATCAAATATAACGATATAATCATAACGTTATTATAACGTTTGCAAGTCCTGATGTTGATAAATAATCACAGAATACTCACGTTTAATTGTACTAACATTTTTTTTTTATCAACACTGTTGACTAAAATGAATTTAAAAATGTTTCTAAGCATGAATAAAAGACATAACAATTATATAATACACTTAAGTAATTATAAAGTTACAATTTATTTTAAATTCACAATTTAAGAAAAGCTAAATTGACTTAATTTTGAATAAATATTAATTAACCATTTACCTACGAAGTATATATATATATAATAGAGTAAGTAATTGATTGATAAAAGATGGTTAAAAACTTGAACAATCTAAAGAACCCTTAAGTATAGTTATTAATAGTGTTTTTTTTCATATTTTCTATACTCTATTTCACATAAGAAAACATTGACAATTCAGCTTACAGCAATATCAAAACTGAATACAATTAGGAATTAAACTTGTTGATAGTTGACGGTTTACAAATTTCATTACAAATTTTTGTCTGCCACTTAGTATATTTATAAACTAATATTAACAATTTACAAACCTTTGTATGTTTTTGGTGTTTTATAGTCATAAGTTTCTTGAGCTAACGATGGTATTGGAATTATTTTTCCCGTTCTAGTAGATACACGTACTTTTTCACCAGCTTCTGTGTACCTCCATTCGACAGTACAACCTTGCCTAATTAAATTTAATCAGTTAAATATATTATGTACATAAAATATTCAATATCCTTACAAGTCTGACGGGTCAACTAATGATACTTCACTAGTGACTAACAGTGGTTTCTCCTGCATTTGGATCATTGACAAATGACCTTTATAATGAGAAACTTCTTCTATTTCACAGTTCAAACCATCTACAATCACCCAGTTCCTCTCCTGGATTACATTTCCGACGATTCCTTGTTTTCCCTTGTCAGGCCCAACTAATATTTCAACCTACACACAATTTCAAGAATATTGAAAAAATGCTCCTCGCAATGTAACGGCATACAAACCCTGTCCCCTTTGAAAAACGACCATTCTTTGATTGGTTCTACGAACACTTTTGGTTTCACAGAGTTGACATTGTTATCAGCAGAGAAACCAATCGACCACGGTCTGTGGGTAGAGAAATGGTATTTCTTTTTCTTAACAACTCTTGGTAAATATCGAGGGTTGTTTTGTGGCGTTTTCCACACTACCTGTTGAAATAATATTAGCAACAGTAAAACCGGCTATTACGTTTGATTTCTCCGCAAACATCTACTTACTCTCTCCATGCTACGCTTGATGTACGAATCCGGTAGGTTAGCATACTTCTTCGTCAGTTCGCCAATTTTTTTAAAGTCGTTCAAACAGTTAGTGAGTCTCATCGTGATGTTAATGTATCACTGTTGCAGAAATTCACCACAGTCCTCGCTGATGGTGCCGCAAAAGGATGCGCAGTTTAAATGTTTTCGAACTATAAATCGCCAGTCGATTCGTCGGGTAATATCGATTTGATAATATATTATCACACAAATGCTGATTAAACGATCGTGGAATAAAGAACGCCGACGTGGAGGTAAAACTACTGGCACAGCTACCTGTTGATTATATCAACCCACAGCTATAGAAATGGTCTAACGACTGATAAAAACGAAATAGTAATCATTTTGGCATTTTTTACTTTCGAATAATAACAATAATCAAAATAACTGTACATGGACGGTGGACGCTACTGCACAAAATCTGTATATACTCGACTCATAATTGAAAGATTTTCGTTCCGAATTTGCTTCAATTTGTTAACTGATTGTGTTTGTTTATTTTTAATCGAAAACATGATCCAAAATGAATAATAAGTGCGCACAATTATTGTTTAGTTGAAACAGTAATGCTTACATTTATTTGTGAATTTCATTACTGGACGTTGAAAAACGATCTAACCGTTAGCAACACAGATTTTAGTCACTTTAAGTATGTACAAGTGATTCAGTTAGTCAATAGTTTACTTGACCCACTTGGTCATTTAAAAATAATACCATAACACCCATTATGGCACTTCATCAAGGTACTATTTTTGTGTAGGTATAATGAAAAAAAAGAAACGGAAACGTCTACAGATAAGATCATCAAAAGAAACTATGTAAAGGCACGCGGATTTAATTGGTCAATATCAAATAAAAGACCTGCAAAATTAAGGGAATCATTAAAAAATTTCGAAGTAAGTAATCTACGTTTAAAGCATTAATATATGTGTAGCTAACTGTGTTGTATATATTATTTCCTACTATTATAACAGGCAGAGCTCAACGATCATCATTTGATTGCTGTTGAATGGATAAAAAAGGACAGAATTGCATTTATCCTAGATAATGGATCAACTATATTTGTTACATTTGACCCTACTACTTGTAATTTAATTGAAATAGTTTCAGACAAATTTCTGCAATCAAAATTTCAATGTGAACAACTAGTTAACAGTATGTTGTCTTAATAGTGAATAATGAAGGCTTAAAGTTAAATACATTTTATTTTATTCCAGTTTCCTTCATGAAACAAGTTTTGTTATGCTCATTTTCGGATAATAAACTGGGTATTATACATTTTGGACGTTCATTCGATCGCACTCTGAACAAATGGTCCTTACTTGAGCCAAAACCTGGATTATTTGATTTCAATAATTCAGCCATCAATAGGAAAAATGAACGGAAGATTACGTTTAATGTATCTGCGACAATGGTGGCCACATGGTCGAAGTCATCATTGAATGAAGTTTATCCATGGAATCCATTGGTAAAAGATGAACATAGAGCTAATATTCATGTTTATAAAATTATTGGGTAAATCAAAATATTTCTAATCTTATAATCACAATGTTATATGTGTTATATATGTTAAATACAATATGTAATTTTTTAGCTCTCGACTAGAACTTTGTTGCTATTTTCACACTAAGCAAGATCCTCTCATTGTATCGTTTAGTAAAACAGTATCAAATATTTTATTTATTTTGGAACATAAGGTAAATTGATATTTTTTTATTTGAATGATTGTAAATTTTATAAATATAAGCAATAATATATTTTCAGAACTTCAACGATCCTCGAATTGACTTTAGCACATTTGAAGTAACTAATACAAAATTACATCTAGTCAATGTAGTGACAATTAGTCCTTTCGATTGGTGTTCAGCCACTATAATTAATGCTTGGTTAAATAAAGATGACTCACGTTTGTGTTTTTCATATAACGATTCTATATTATTTGTTTATGATTTCAAATTATGTATTACATGTTCTGTAAAAACAGCTTTTGTGAGTATATTTTATTTTTTTAATTATTATATTTATTAACTTTTCAAAATTGTATTATACAATTTTAGTGATGGTTTGATTCAGTGACGTGTTTAGGGGGTGGGCCCGGTAGGCATGTGCCCACCCACATTTTTATATTAGTACTAGACTATTGTAAATCCGATAATCAATGAAAAATGAAAATATGATTTATAAATAGTTAGAAAAAAATTTGTGGCCCATCCACAACAAAAGTTCTGGACACGTCACTGGTTTGATTAATATAAAATGAACTAATAAGTAATAATATTCAATTCTATAAATATTTTATGTTAGTTATGTTATGAATGATTTTAATACTTCATATAACTTCTTTTTATTAAATTCTGTCCCAATTAGAAACAGAAATGTGATTTTTCAAAAAAAAATTTTAATTTATTTAAAATTATTTAGCCTGTTGAGTACTTAGATTGGCATCCAGATGGTAATTTAATCGCTGTGTCAGATAGTAATGGTAGAGTACAATTTTACGACTCGTGTTTATCGTGCATTCGTCTACAACCAGTAACGGAAGAATCAGGGACTTCAGATTGGTTAGACCTTCAATCTAAGGTTGGAAACAAAAAACTTTTCCATATAAAATGGATGCCTCACGAAACAACAAAACACTCTGTGAATCTAACTGATGCCATTCTTCATCTTATTTTTGAAAAGTAAAATTATTTTTAATGTTTTGTTATTCTTTTACTATATACTTATACTAACTACTTATACTGTATTTTCAGAGGTCCTGTTGTAGCTATTAAGGTGCTTGGCATTGGGAAGTTATGTGTTAATCATTTGGTGTCTATGTACCTTAATGAAAATGATGTTGATCGTGCTCTCAACTTTCTTTTAGGGCTTGACTGGCATTCTGATGGGCCACTATGTTTAACAACTTTACAGCAAATAACAAATTATTTGTTCCGATTACCGTTTACTCCTGTAAGAGAAGGTATGTTTTTGATTTATTAGTAAAAAGTAAAATTAAAGATTATGTGATTATACAACATTATTCCCTAAAGTGCAATTACAATCAGCAATCGGTAGTTTCTATCAACCCGTTATACCGCTTAGTGAAGACGTTAAACATGAATATTTTGAGCCCATTCGGAATATTGCTCGACGTTTTTTTCATCATTTAGTAAGGTACGTAAACATTACATATCACAGTTTGCGATCTAAATTATATAAAATGCAATTTGTTCTAGGTATGAACTTTACGAAAAAGCTTATAGCCTAGCCATTGATTTGAATGACAGAGATTTATTTATGGATCTATATTGGGCTACAAAATCAGGGATTGGCACCAGATCAATGGCCACTATGGCATTAGAGAAAGCAAATCAAATAGTGTCATCAGAATCAGATGAGTCGCATTCCAGTCAGTCTTCTGACTGTGAATGCAATGAATGCCATTCGAGTTCTCCATCGAGTTCATTGAGGCCGCCTTTACCAAATGTGCCCATAACGCCAGCTTCTCCATCATTATTTGTTCCAACTATTCAAACCAATAAGTCTTTGAATAATGTTACAACAATTAGTGTACCGGTATGTAGTACAACTACAACTAAAATTTAGTATTAAAAATTGTTCTATCTATTTATTTGTGTTGCTTGAATTTAAATGAATTTAGTATACAAGCACCCATGTAGAACATACTCATGTCAAAAGTATTGAGCTACCAGCTACTTCGTTAGAAAGTGTGTCGCACATTAAATACCCGTACGAGCAACAAATACTCACTCAAAATCCACATCCTGGTTTGTATTAAATTTTCACCTTGTTATTTATTTTTAATATTATTATTTAATTTTATTTTAAAATTTAGAGAATAATAATCAGCAAAGTCAACTTCCAAATAAACCACAGCCTGATAAAACTATTAAAGTTGTTCATTTTGGAATTGTTTAACATTTTTAACGAACAATTAATACTATTTAAGTAACTATAGAAAAATTATTAGTATATGTAAACCTATAAAGACTGTCTAAATTTATATCACTAAGTTATAGTTATGACTATGATTTAATATAAACCATATTCATGGTGTTAAAGACATAAAAATAATATAATTTATTTCACTTGAGAAAATTCTAAATTGAGATAATTTAATTTTAATATATTTACAATTATAAAAAATGAATTAAATATTCATTAAGGTGGTTTGGTATTCACTAAAAATTATGTAATTAAAGGATTTAATTAGTTTTTCTTGCCCAAATCTACCAAATCAATGCCATATTATATTATTCTTGTTAATAATGTTGAATTTAATAGTAATTAAAGTTATTTAAGTTATTATTATTTAGTTATTTAATTTTATAGTTATTAGTTGTTATTCTGTTTTTTCGTTACTAATAAGAATTAATTTGCTTTAATAACATTGTTATCAAATGTTTTCATTATATACATTCAATATTATTTTAAACACCAAATTTAGTTTTTAATAAAACCACAAATCAGTATTATATTATTATATTTTTTTTACATGCATTTTATATTTTTTTATATACTATTATTTATTTTTATACTTTTATAATTTATCATACTTTGTTATTTATACATTTAAAAATTGTTTAATGAGTCAAGTATTAACATTTATTTGCCATTAACATTTTATCTTAAGATTCATTACCAATGTTAAGACAACATACAAATTATTATTAAAACAGTTTAATATTAAAAAAAAAAAAAGTTGTATTATTTATATTAGGCACTACATAGTATTATAAATATTAACTGAATAACAAAATTGATCACTTTTTCTTCCTAGCTCCACCCATATCTTCCAATTGATCTTTCAACATTTTTAACTCATTGTCGGGTATATATTTAAGTACCTCGTGTTCTTCTGTATGTTTGTGAATTGATACCTTGACGCCTGCTGGTAGTGAATCTTCAATTACTTCAATAAGCAAAGAAAGCTTATTTGTAGGAACATCAACTACCTACAAATCATAAAATACCCAAAATTAACTAACTACTTGTTCTATTTTATTTTGAATATTAATTACTTGTATGTTACGTTCATATACATTTAATGTAAATTGAGCTTCTATATTTTCACTGTTTTGAGTAAATCTTTTAATATTTATTATTTGAGGAGGTAAAGCCCACCTAAATAATATACCAAAAATAAAGAATAATCATTAAAAGCATTTGCATAAAACAACTTATATTAATTTACCCATCGGATACTTCTATATTCATATTTTCAGCAGTAGTATGAACAAATTTTTGAAAAGATTCTAATACAGCAAAATCATAACCTTTGATCTGAACATTTATTTCTTCGTATTCTGGAATATCTGGTTTTAAACTGTCCAGGTATTCTGGTTCGTAAACACTACTGTAATGACGAAAAACGATGGGAAAACTAATTTTAACCGGTTTTAAATGTGACAATCTAGCTAACTTGAAACACTGCTGAGCCTAAAAAATAAATTCATATTTTCACAATTATAAAAATATCATTTAATTTCATATACAATTAAATAAAAACAAACTATAACTTTTAAGTAACTAATTTCTATCAATGTATTTTATAACTATTGAAAGTATTCATGAATTTTGTAAATTATTAATAAAATGTATAATAGATTTACAATAATATTATAATACAATTAAAAACCATCGCACTTAATAAAAATCTATTGTGGATTACAATTTCGACTTTGTAAGAAATCTAAAACACGTGAAAGCCATAAAAGCTACCATAATTTGACTAACTGAATAGATCCAAGGTGTGTTTAAAAAGCATCAAAATATTTGAGAACTGGATGAGTTACAACAAACATTAATAAGTTGATGTTTATATATTTTCTACACAATAGTTGTAGAACTCCCAAAAGGAAAGACATTTAGTGACCAAAATGCTTGGGTAAAATGATATTTAAAATAACTATTAACCAAACAAATCGTAGGAAGTGAGTCTGTGATGTAAATAACAAACGAATGTCACTATAGGAATTTCATCACAAATATCTTATATAACAACTTAAATAAAAACTAATATCATCTCCGAAATCCATATCTTTATGTTGACCATTAGCACCCAATAATACCAATGGATTGTAATAAACGGAAATATTTTTTAGTAAATAGTATCTAAGATTTAAGCATAATTTTATACATTGAGAATCGAAAAATGGCTATTATAATAAAACATTGGGGCTTAAAGTGTTTCAATTTATTTTCTATGAAAACCGTATGCATTTTATACATTTTAACTAGGAAAGCTGTGTAGACCATATTTCTTTTATAGTTGATAAATAATGTACTTACCAAACATTTCGTCGGGAACATGTTTCGGTAAAAATAAAACAATTGTAAAAATTAAAAAAATGAATTAACAGCAAAAGACCGGATTGGTTTCGTAGGACTTCGAGACTACATGGGGTGTAAAGACCTAATATAATCTGCGAATTATATTATTACAATTCAGTTATTTTGCCGAGTGATAAGAGCTAGATAAGAGAATATGAATGAAATTCTCGGACTATTTAGTCAATGATAAAATTGTCGATACATTGATTACAGTTAACTTAAACGCCCCATACACGGAACGATGTCGTCAAACTTGTCATCAAATAGCGTTTGACAAACCAAATCCGTCACGTATATGGACGTGTTTGTCATTTTGTCGTCGAATAGGGACGTGGTATCGAAAGAAAAGTATTGATAGGTACTTTTACTTCGTCGTATCGAATCGAATTAAAATAATGATAAGAGTAAAATATAAAAATGACTGATATGTATAAACGTTCCGATTAAGAGGAAACCTATTGACGCTATTGTATTGTGGACTGTGGTTTCTGGTCCTTGGAAATAACAATATAATCGTATAGAGCAGTGGTCTTCAACCGGTGAGCCGCGAGCCAATTTTGGGTCGTGTAAGCTTTAAGATTGGGTAGCGATAAGTTTTCTGTTTAAAATTTAAAAAAATCATATACATACATTATATAATGTATGCCATATGATATTGCATAAAAATGTTTTCGAATAAACCCGAAACCATACTATTTTATACTATTTTAAATTTGTAAAATATTAGAATGAACACTTTTTTCTCACTCATATTTAATTAGAAAAAATCCTCAAACCAATATGCAACATATACCACTAATCATTGTCGAACACATAGTGGAGGAGTGTACACAATTTACCTCAATTACGAATCGACCTGAACATGCCATCCAACATAGTGTAAGTACTTAGCGAAAAACAAACTCGGAAAATTGTCACATTATTAAATATCACAAATATTATTTTAGTAAATCTTAATTTACATCTAACTTCACCTTTATATTATTTCATATGTAATATTGTAATTTTAAATCTAATACCTAATTCATCAAATATGTAACATCTAATAGCTAATAATATTTGCTGTTGAATCCTCAATTTTCAAATAAAAGAAATCAAATAATAAACAATCGAATGAAGTGATAGCTCGACTTAATTTATAAATCTCATTTACATTTCATACATCTATAAACTGCATATTTGTGGTGTATATTTTTAAGCGTGTTACAAAAATTTTCAGGCCATAAACGAACCGAATTTCACTCCGCAATACGCTTACATATGTACGGCATTGAACACGAAAGAAGCACAGCAGAACGGCGCGAAGTCGAAAAATTCGTTCAGAAAATTATTGACAAAGTGCTGTGAAGACCGGTTGAACGAAATGCGAGTTCACGAAGAAACTTTGGCAAAGGATCTTCGAGCAATTGACGAATGTCAAGATCAAGTAAACATCTCGTTCCAACCTCTGATAAAGCTTCAATTTACCATGACACCACCATCTCTCTTACCAATTGTACAATAAGAATACAATTTTACAGGGTGCTAAGGATCAGCTCAAGTCCAAGTATGACCAGGAAGAAGCGGTCTACAGGAAAAGATCCATAGGGAATTGCAGGCACGAACATAACGAACAAAAATTAATTAATTGATTAACTAGTGAAATTAATAATCTCGGCTGTAAACGATATATTTTTGGGTTTTCAGATATATGTGCGAACTCTATAAGGTGAGCATATTAACGAGCCGCACTCTGGAGACGAGTTTAAAATATTTACTAAAGTCGCCAAGTGAAGAAACGCTCGAATGTGCGTGTAGCATACTGAAACATACGGGAAACACATTAAGACACGTAAGACAATATCGAGTTCTGATCATGAAGTGTATGATACTTTACTAACACAAATGTTCGACGTTGAAACGTCATAGATTTATATAAAAAATTTGTTTTAATGTTTATTGGTTGAATTACGGTTACAGAAAGCCACTTTTAATAAGCTTAACGAGTACATGTCTGCGAAGTACAAGAGTAAGATTCCGACAAGAATACGATTCATGATACAGGACACGATAGAACTCAAGGACAACGATTGGGTACCAAGAAATGCCCGTCCCAAACAGCAGGTCTGCAACTCAGAGACATCGTCGAATCCGAAAAAACTCTTACCACCGGCACTAGATGTATTATCGACAGTAAAATAATTTTATTTTTTTTTTCATTTAACAAAAGTTATGCGTACCCATAACACAATCGAAATAATTTTGTTGTAAAATACGTGTTAACATTCTCGCATTGTTTTTATTAGAAAAACATACCACGAAAACCGAATGAGCAGACGAAAATTAAACTGCCAAAGGAAATTCGAAAGGTAATTGAATGTTGTTAAATATTTATTTACATTCACATGTTGTTTTTCTTTAGGTTGTTGTGATTCAAGATAATGAATTAGAAAATACCGCAGAATCAAGTGGTCTTAAAGAGGCATCGTTATCCAATGGTTCAAGTCATGTTAAAAAGAGTAACGAATCACTGGTATTGCCATGTGTAGACCTAGGGACCGAAAGCATAAATAAATGCCATTCGTCGAACGCTGAAGATGTTGAAATCGAAGTATGTTTTATTCGACGAAACTCGATATTTTTTGGAGCAAAACTTAGCGTGCGACATAACGTATTCTGTTGTTCATGCAGGAAATACAAAAAAAATATCGATCGATTATTGACAACATAACTCCGGAAAATATTGTGCCGATGACAAGACATATGATTTCACTACCAATGAAAACAGACGGTTGTCTGAAAAACTTGGTCGGATTTTTATTTCAGAAGGTACCTATATAAAAAAGAATCGAATCAAATGATACAAATTTGATACACATGCTTTAATTCTGTGGATAATTTGTTATTTTTAAATTCTTTAGGCTTTGGACGAACCGGAATTGATCCATCAATACGCACATGTTTGTTCGCTAATGAAAGACACGGTAGTACGTTCAGTGGACCAGAAATGCAGTACTTCGTTCAAAAAGCATTTGATTGGAACTTGTCAAAAAGCATTCGAGGCGATAACGTTCAACAGGAAACGAACGGTAGCCAAAGACCGCATCGAAATCGAATCTTGTAAAGATAAGGTATGAACGACTCTCAGCTGCGCCGACCGACGATTTGACAAAAAATAAAATGTTCGTCCTTGATGTACGTATATGATATTAATGCGATATGGTTGTAACGTTACAGGAAACGCGGAGACTACTTCAATCGAAATTTGACCAAAAAGAATCGGATCACAGGAGCCGTTCGATCGCAATCTGCAGGTATACTCGCAAACGATAGTTTGACAACGTGTTATGATCGGAAGAGATGCAATAATAATAGGTGTAAAAAATGTTTATCCCCTAACTTTCAGATTCATATGCGAACTATTGAAAGTGAACATTTTGGTGCCTCCTATACTGGAAATGTGCGCGGCACAACTCGTACAGAGCTCGAAATGTACGTCAATCGAATGCGTGTGCGTTATACTGAAGCACGCCGGGAACGCATTCGACATCGTAAGATCTACTGTCACTTCAATTTACTTTATTTCGGATATTTCAGCGATAAATATTATTTTGAATACAAAACATCTATCGCACGACACGCGCGTTTAAAATATCATAAATTATAGAGTGGCGTGATTGAGAAGCTTAGCGAGTACTCGATTTCGGACAAGCAGAAATTGTCCTCGAGGATGCAGTCCGTGGTCCTGGACACGCTACGGCTGACTAATAACGATTTTATGTTACTCGAGAACCGTGATAATGTATACAGATAATAAGGACTTGTTGTCCACTAAAAGCAGGTGAAAAAAAAAATTAGAACAAGTAATTACGTTAATCAGCTGGTTTGTTGTACACAGCTTATAATAAATGCTAACGTAAGTGTTTGTATGATTACTGGCAGGAGTACGATCTGAAAAAAACATTCAGAAAACTGACGAGTACAGTGTTTCGAATGATGTGGAAGTGATGTATTCTAAACGTAGTAGTGTGATCCTTAAAGAACTTGTCGCCATACGCGACAATAAATGAGTCTTGTAGTGAAATTAATTAACATGGACCAATGAAATCGAGGGTTCTCATCGATTGTTCATCCTCAGACGCCAATGGTTTCAGTGAAAAACAAACTTTATCATTAGTCACTATTATTCATATTTTTACTTTTCATATAGAACAGCGTAGAAACCATATGTAAAAGCACGTTTTTATCCATGAATAATTGTGGAATTGTTACTCTTTAGTCATTCGTGGAATGTTTTAAATTTTTGAGGAGTGACCAAGGTAGTTCGAAAAACCTTAAATTATATCGTTTATATTATTTATTTAATCAAATATTTTATACAATATTCAGATTACTTGAATAGAAAAAAAAAAAAAATTATAAACCATATTTTTAAAGTGAAGTGAGGTATTTTCGTGGCATAGGAAATGTCGTGATATTATTTGTTGAATATATAATGTAATTCACTGTTACACGATCGACTTGAAAATTACATTTATCCTTAAAAACTCAGCCATTTTACGAATCAATGTAGTTTTCCAGTCAATTGTGTAATAGAGAATTACATTATACGTTCAACAAATAATATCATGAAATTGTCTATGAATGAAAATACCTTACTCTACTCTAATTAAAAATAAGTTTTGATCACTCTTCGAAGACTCAAAATATTTTTCATTTGGCTATGAAATAAAGAGTAATAAAAAAAAATCGTTTCTGTAGGAGTTCATGATTGAATTTTGGCCTTAAAAATTAAAAAAAAAACCGTAACTGCAAATTTACCATTAATTTTTAAATAAAATATAAGTGCTTCACATACTTATTCGTTATGATCACATTAGTATTACATTTTTTTATAATAAATATATAACCATTGATTGTTAATAATTACTTAAAGATGTTTAAATAATTTACTTTTGTTCACCACACAAACATACAATCAACGACTTTGAAAAATAAAACGAAGAATTATTGAAAGTTCCATCTGTAGAACAACAGTTATTGCAATTGAAGATCCGAAATATGAACCGAGTATATTATGCAGCTACGTTGCACAGACAATTGCGCCGTCTTATCCAATGGGATCAAAATTTGATATTAATATAGTTAAATATTTTTGAGTAAAAAACACATAATGACAATATTTTACAGCTTATGAACGAATTACATTATAAATATTTTTTCAGTATACCGTTCTGAGTTTATCACCTACTGGTAGAACAAATCATTTGAACAACAACATGATTCGATTTCATATGATACCGAGGAAGACTTTTGGCGATCGAAAACCAACCAAATGTTATGGGAAATATTCAGATCAAGTTGGCCGAATATGCCGAATAAAACGTCTCCAACCGCATAAACGTTGATCGTATGAACACATCCCAGATAGCAATTGTGTGATGATAATAATATAATATTATTATTATAGTACATAGATAATATTATATAAAAAATGTTATTGTAATAACATAATTATCTTATTAATATAATATCGTTTCAGTAATTCAATAATATTTTTTTTATGCAGTAATACAAATATTATTTTAAGTATATTATAATAAAATTATTATAATATTTTTTCCGTATTTAATTATTAATAATATTATAATATATTTTATGTATGGTAATAATAATAATAGTAATAGAGTTATTATAATATTTTTGGTAAAATTAGTTAATAATAATATTTGAATGTTTTCAACATACGGTATTATATTAATACTATTTAATTATAATTAAGTAAGGGCAGACGGCGTGAGGGAAGGGTTCTGATTTAACTGAACTTAAAATATTTTATTAATAGAAATTATAAGACTCAACATTTATTTTGCCCAGGGCCTCGCAAACTCTAGCACAGTTATTGAGTAAGGGTATATATAAAGTGTAATACGTCGCTTTTAAAATACCGATTAGGCATAACAATAAATATTACTACGCATAAAGATGAATAAGAGTGTACCTAGCTATTTATAGGTACATTGATTTTAAAAATTTTTGTCAAACGTGTTTGAATAAGTGTATAATCAGTAACCATTAATCAGCATTTTTATAATTTATGTTGGCACTTGGTGTACGTGCGGGCTCGTCGCGAGTCACTCGTCTTTCCTAGTTGCAATACGTAGTACCATTGATAGAAGCATTGATTATTGATATCTATCTATAATCAATGCTGTTATTTATGAATATTTTACTAGTTTATTTTGTTACGTGCCAACCGTTTGATCCGTGATTTCAGTACTAACGTCTTAGTTAACGCTTGGATGTAGGTGTAGTAGAGAAATAATTTAGACTCTTTGTAATAATTTAAACTATAGAAATTATTCTAAGTCCTAACAATTATAACTTATAAAAATAGTTTGAAATATTTCTAAATCCGGACCATGACATACACTGACGTGAAGGTGCTCAGTGCAGCATAGCTAAAACTCGTCCGATTTGCCCTTGTTTTCGGGTCCCTTTTATATCTGATATATCCAAGTTGCGTGTGTATATGAAAAATGATAATAAAATATGATAATTTCCTGTTTTAATTATCTTTCGACCGGCCTATAATTATTGACACAAAGATCCAGGATATGGTCACTATTGTTTTGATTAACTATTTTATTTCAATTTCACATAAAATGATTATGTGAAACAATTAAATAGAATTTATTTAATTTATCTCACGGGTGTGTCACAATCAATACAATTATTCCTTATTGAATAATGTGATATTTTGTGTTATCCTAATAATTATTAATTTGTCTCCTTGTTTAATTCTATGTAGGTGTGTAACGTTTGTGTGATAATGTGTATACTTTAATTCATAAAATTAATTAATAATTTAATTAGTCAAATGTTCCGTAATGTAGGGTGATCATAGTATTTATCTAAGTACGTGGCACACGACAATTTCCAAGCACACTTCATCAAAATTTCATAATTGCTTAATAAAAGTATTAAATGAATATGAATACACATTTTATAAGAAAATAAATAACCTAATGAAAGCATATAAAAATAATTTAAAAATAAACCATTTTAACTATACACTGCTCACTAAGTAAAAAAATAATGAGCTTTTAAATACAGGTCAATCGTGCTGTAAAATACACATGGAACTAAATAATTGAATTATATTACATATTATATACATTATTACATACATTTATGAAACAATAATATTGAAGGTTTAGCTTCAAGGTTTGTTAACACACTTAAATGTATGTAATAATGCAGATTTACTGATATTTATAATATTTTTGTTTTTGACATAAAGTGATTATATAATACAACATCTTCAATATGTTTTATAACTGGATAAATCAATTAACTATTAAAGATAGTTCATGATAATTTTTGTTATAATTACTACACTCAATATTCACCTTGTGAAACCCTTGACATTGTCCCATGGAATACACTTTGGGGAACACTAATGTATAGCATAAGATATTCATATTAGTATTAACTATTAAAAAAGTAAATCTTTGGTTTTTTTTTTATTAAATTGATTTGTTGATGTTGAATTATAAATAAAATACACAATCTGAGGTTTTTTTTTTTTATTATCCAATAAAAAGATAAATCTTACATAATTTCAACTAGAACCTTAGCTTTTGGAAAAACCATTTATTTTTCCCTGACTTGAACCTGAAAGAAAAAATAATGTAATTAGAAAATTTGACCATTACAACCACATTAAATACAATATATATATATACTAGCGATACATGTGAATATTGTATTTTGATATCTGACCAATTTCAACAATATCGATATCAAGTAGTTACAATTTTTATTTTTTAATGTAAAAATTCAAAAAAAAAAAAAAAAAAAAATCTGTTAATAAATTTAGAATAATATTGTTTTTAGTTTTATAAATTATATTTTTTAATTTTTTTATAGCTGTAATCACTAAAAATTTGCTGCATCAATTATTAAATATAATAGCCCAAACATTAAATCAATTTTAATTTTTAGATAATTTTTATAAACCTCATTGTTTGGACAATTAAGTAAATACTATATAATTTTTTTTTTTTTGTTACAAATTATGTATTTTAATGAAACACTAAAAACTTTGCAGCTCTAAGCAGCTACCAGTTCTTACTTTTATTTAACAGTTTATGATATTAATATCGTTTTTTTTTTTTTTTATATCAAAATACAATATTAATATAAATCAGGGTTGAAACGTATAATATGGTATAGTATAAAACAAGTACTTATATACGTTTTATACTGTATAAAAAAAAAATTCCATATTAACAAAAAGGCATTTATAATTCAAACACAATAATACAAAGAAATATAAATTATAAATAAACAATTGTGGTGCTATTAATCCATTGTTAATAATAATCATTATTTTATTGCAGACATATTTATAGTAAATTCATTGTACTTGTGATATTTGTAATACTTTTAACCCTTCACCTGTACACTTATTTTTTGGGACGTTTGGTCATCTGTACACTGGGTCATAAATCGACAAACATATTTTTTAGTACTAAAAACACTTAGGAAAAGTTTCTGAAAAAATTAACATTTACTAATTGAGGGTTGCTTTTTAAGATCCTGTAATTTGTCATACAATTCATTCATAATTACATTTTTATAACATTGTAAGTGACGAAATTGCAAAAAAAAAAAAAAAATGCATAATCAAAATATTGGTTGTGCCATAACAGACCCAGTGTACAGACAAAAGTTAAATGGATAATATAAAATAGTAAAATAAATTTTCAATTTTTCAAAGTGAATTTCACAAAACAAACCGTATTATACGTTTTATTTAAATATTTATATTACACATGGGATATTATACTTATAACGTAAAAAATGTTTTATGCACGTATATTACCAACCCTGATATAAATGAAACAATATCGAGAATTGAAAAATATTAATATACAAAAATAATAAATATATAAAAACAGATCAAGCATAGAAAAAATACTTATGTTCTTATATTTCCTATAAGTATTTAATTTATTCTTGAAATATTAAGTTTACAAATTGCAATAATTAATAAGTGTAAATTTACAAAATAATTAATCAATTTAACTATAAGCGTAATATCAAAATATATTATTCAAGAAATAAAATACTAGTTGAAAATAATGTAGTTTGAATGTCCACTGCCCAAAATCAAAAATTGAGGAATTAATCTTGCACATAATATTAGGACTCGCCACAAAATTTTAAGAGACAATTGTTAGATAAAATATTGTTATTTCATGAATTTACAGAAGTACAATTTATCAACACAGTTTAATTTAAAATTTATTTTTATTAATTAAGTTTAACTCACAATTTAAAACAATATAAATCCAAAAATACAATAAAAGATTTTATTTTTGTAGACTCTTAAACATTAACTTTTTTAGGTAGAATTTGAATGACACAGATTTATACATTCATTAAAGAATTATTAATGAGTAACTTACTTTTCTTCAAATTTAACCCTAGTCTGGAAACGGTATTTCTTTTTAATCATTGGATCTTTTAAATCTTTAGGTGAAACCTTATCTACTGTTACATCTTGAACGGAGTATCTAGTTGGCATAAGGTGGTTATAGTTGAGCACCTGAAAAGTTTAATAAATGCAAATTTAGAATAATTAAGAAATAGTAACTTAACAAGAGTACAATTTAAAAAAAAATGTATTCAATTAGCAGTTAGTTACATAACGGTTAATCAATAATTTAGTTTTAATTCAATTTTCCAATGAAAACAAACTTAGTAATTTTTATCAGATATTTTGTTATCAACATATATAAATATGTCAGACATATGCTTGTCTCATTAATATCATCATTAAGAATTTAATCACACAGAATAAAAAAATCACGTAAATCACTAATAGAGTAATTTTTTATAATTACATAAGTAGAACAATAGTAGTACAAGTAGTACTTAGGAAGTATAAAAGCTATCTACTGTAAACACAAGCATTTAATTTTAAAGTAATTATTATAATTTCACAAAATCAATAAATAAATATACACACATGCACATAAAAAAACACTAACAGGTATGTCTATTACTACCATTAAAGATACTAAAAATAATATAAAATAAGATAAAAACTAAAACAAAATTCTCACAAATAATTTTTTTTTTTATAAGACAATTACGTTGAGATGTGAGACACCATTCAGTATAAAATTCAAAGAAGAAACTTTTTTAGTTTGTTTTATAGAAAATAACATTATTTGTATTGTAGAAATTAATTTTTTTAACATTAAAAAAAGATTGAAAGTTTTTTGAAGAACTACAAAAATGATTGAAATAAGTTACTTAAAAAATGAAAATGATACTACTAGGATATAAAATCTTTTAAAAAAGGATCTTCTACTAAGAATTTATAAGAGATGTTTTTGTCCCATTTAAAATGGGTTTTCAATATTAATATCAGAAAGAAAGGAACAATTGCAGTTTAGCTACCGAGGGATTTGTGCAAATTTTTTTTTCGAAATCTATGTAAATCAACGTTTTAAAAAATTATAGTGCCAAAAAAAAAAAAAAAAAACGGTGCCGACGTTTAGTTTTTGAGTTATAATGGTTTGAAATATCCTTCTGCAGTGACTACATGTGTACATGTGTATCGGCACTCCGTAAATAGAAAATATTCCTCGTCTTGTTATGCAAAACCACCTCATGTAGGTCACAGCCCACAGGGTAAAAACTAAATAAATTAAAGTATTTATATTATTATATTAATAAGAGGCGACAATCTGATATGATCTATTGGTAGGTACACTGAAATAGTTCCCAAAATTCGAGGATTCTCGAATTTCAAACCGATATAACCCTTTCACGACGAGCCTTAATTTTTGTTTTAATATATTTTACAACTAGCACACACAATTGTGTATATAAATCTATATTATCTTTAGTCCTGCCTGATTAATTGATTTTAGTAATTGGTATTAACGAACCTACACAAATGTGTGGTTGGTTTTTTTAAAATTGTATGATTTTATATTCGTTTTTAATTAGACACACGCTAACCTACACAAATGTGTGTGTTCATCGTGAAAGGGATAACATAAAAACCAATCGCCGGCGCCTATTTTTTTTTTTTGGCATCATCATTTTTGAAACGTTGATTTACAATAGGTTTCAAAAAAAAATTTGCAAGAATCTCTCGGTAGCTAAACTGCAATTATACCAAAAGAAATATTATTATTGCATTTATAGTTCTATAGACACTTATCACATGTATGTAGGATTAACCTCTATTGTCACATATCCATGAATCATTACACCTAGGATAGATGATTAAAAATTATGTATTCTTAACCAATTTGAGATTAATATAATTAAATTATTTAGAAAATAGTATAGTTAAATAATATAATTTATTAATAGGACCAAAATACATGTAAATATTAAATAAATGGTTAATACATTATAATTTTATTAAAAATAAAGTTGCCTATTGATAAAAACAAATTATTGTTAATTGTTAATGTTAATTTAGAATTTGAAATTTATTTTAAAATAAATGGGTTAGTTTGTAATAACTTATGTTGGGCATTGTTTTAAAGGAGATTGTGATTTACTGTAGATATAAATAATTTAATAAAATAATAAGATATATCAAACTTTGAAAACAAAAATTACTCGGAAATGAGAATAAATACTGAATTTAGCGAGATAAGCATTTATATTCAAGCCCAAAAACCATAGACAAGATGCTTTAAAGAGTTGAACAAAATATGTTAAGTACATGTGCTTAACATAGTTTAAGTTAAAAATAATGTCTTACTTTCAGAAATGGTTTAATTTTAGATCGTTTTTTCAGTTTCTCCTGTGACATACGTTTGGTGACTTTCCGAGGATAGCGATCTATACCGGCCACCAGTGCGTGACCATACTGTCTTTCCGCTGTACCTTCATCATAGGTTTTCATTATGACTGCTTTTCGGCCGGCGTATCTCCCAGATAACACCAGCACGATTTTGCCAGATTTCATTATTTTACCCATCGTGCCGTTTGTGCTGAAATTACAAGGACAAAAAATTTAAACGGAAAACAAACACAATTGTATGTTTTGAACCTAAGTCAACGGTATAATCGGTTAAGTTAATTCGCTATTAAATATAGAAAAGGACGTCAAAATATATTATATTGAATTCAATAAAATGTAATTGAGTTCAAAGGAAACGATCGAGACATTTAGTCACACGTTTGGAACGTGAACATCGGGTATATCACGTCAACAAATATCTGGTTATATAAGATTTTTATTCACGATGCGTTGACTTAAGCATAAACAATATGGAAAAATGCTTAAGTAAAAAATAAACTCACTGATGAAATTAATTATTTTAAATTACTTACCACAAAACTACGCGATAGTTACACGAGGCAGGCTACGAACGCCAAAAAAGAACTATTTGTTTTCAGATGAATTTTGAGGTTATGATAGTAGAAGTTCTACCGACTCGTGACAGTCGCGATTTCGTCATGGAGCAAACGACAACCGTCGACTGTCATATGCTTAGTTTTCTTACCCATGAACTTCTCACGGAACGTTTAATTTAAAATTTCCATGGATTTCGAGCATTTCCGGATGAGAGAGGTTCAATACATTCCTTTTAAATGTTGCAAGAAAAAAGTATTGTTTTGTTTAAAAAATAACATGTCGTAACGTCATAACGTATGGTCTTATTAATTTTTCTTATTATTAACTTCACTGTTTTTTGCTGTATGTATCGCATAAACAATAAGTACTCGACAGCCGTGGCCGATCATCGCGAATTATATTTTATTGCATTTTCGCTCTATTTAAAAATATTTTAATATTACACGAACAGACGTAGTATTACTTAATAAATAACAAACAAATCTACCATACAAGAAAAATCTTCACTACTGGTATACAAACAAATTTTTCTTTCCCTAATCACATACACATGCCCAATATAGGGTAAATGTGGAAAAAGCCATCTAAATAATATCCAAATTTTTCAAAATAAAATACTCTACATAATAACAAACAAATGCATCCTGGTTCAACAGAAATAGCTCTTTAAATATCTCGAAATCTTGCTTATCAACGATTTTATTAAAAACACGACTAAAAACTTCCATAATACATTAAAAAACTCTGGAGCACGACACTACCAACAATTTATGAATATTTTGAAAATAAATGAGAATAATTAATTTAAATTGATTTCATTTTTATATTTACAATGAGTTTATTATTATTAGTTTATTTTAATCATTTTATTTAATATTTTATTTTTATTTAAAAGGTTGAATTTATTTTATGTAAGTTAAATAATTTTGATTTTTATAGAATAAAATTGCTCGTGTAATTGTGTAATCTATCAATACAATAATGATTACACGAAATATCACAATATAAAACTCACAGTCACAATCTAAAAATAGATATTTCTCGGTCAGTATATTTTTGAGACCGATAACACGTTATCTCTAATTTTACTTCAAACCATTTTGAATTTTTACATTCATAGTCCAGTGGTTTTCAACCTTTTTAACAATGCGATACACTTCATCTAAAAATGTTCGCGGCACACCAGTTCATATATTATGAGAACCTTATTTTATATAAATAAATATATATATATGTACACTGTTTACAATTTACTGTATTAGAGGGTTATTTATTGTGAAATATATTAATGCAATCGATCGATCGAGATGACTGAAACGGGCATACTTAAAATAAATAATATTATATGTATCTATGATTTATTCGATCAGTTATCAAATATCGAAAATAAGCTGGTAAATACATACTTATAAAACAATTTATAGATATATCGCGACACACTTCAAGAGCGCTTCAACGGCACACTGGTTGGGAACCATTAATGATTAGTCATTCCTTTTTTCAAATGACAAAATAATACAATTTAACAAATATTATCTAAAATCAACATGGAATATTTAAGGGGAGCTAAATCTTGGTCCGGGGGACTAATCCCCTTAGCCCCCCCCTAGTTGCGCCTATGATTTTGCTACAAAGAAAAACTAATGATTATTTAAATGTTGAAAGTCACAAGGCTTAGTATATTAATATTCTGTGTATCGGAAGTCTGACTCGTTGGCGCACCGTCACGTCAAAGGGACTTGTCAGCACATTTGTTTAAACCAACGATGTTTTAGTACAGGGATGAACAACTCATAGTAAACTTTGAGGGTCAATTTATAGAACTTTAAAATGCGGTTGGCCAGAGTAAAGTAAGCAAAAAGTAAAAATAAACCATTAAAACAGAAAATTAGCATTTAGTTTTTAAAATTTAATTTTACGACTAAACCAATATAATACTTACCTGTGGCGTATATAAGTGGGGGGCTTAGTGGGCTATAGCCCTCCCCCTCCCCGAAATGTTTTAAAAAACTTAAAAATTATTTTAAACGTTTGTTATGTTTTAATGGTGCTTTATGCTTATTTAGAATTTGCGTCCAACGTCAAATCGTTTTGGGACATTCTGTAAATTAAATGTAGGTAAGTACCTACTGTGTCTTGTTTGTAATTTTTAGATGGCAGTTGTAATTTAACTCTGTCCATAGTAGCCCCTCCCAAAAATATTTTCTGTATTCGCCACAGATACCCAATACCTATAGCTGTGTTAGCTATGCCAATATGGATATGTATTATATAGAAATATAATAAATTAGCTGCAGTTAAATACTAGAGAAAAATGTAATATTAGGTATCATTTTACGATCAAAGTGATAAATGAAATACCGTTAAACGCTGAAATGTTATGAAGTAATTTGAAAATGTAACAAGGGCCAGATAACAAAATCACAATGCCCGTGGGCCACCAGTTGCCCGTTCCAGGCTTATAAGAAATATAACATACAATCACATAATAATACATAGATTAAATAATAATAAACTAACACTATTATACTATTATACTCAACTTATTAAAACCAGGGGTTCATATCAACACGTATTCTCATAATATTATAGGATCATTTATTTGTTGAGAAGAATGTAAAATCCCCCTCACAAAAAATTTAAAAATATGCCACTGACACAATCAATGTTACTGGAATAATAAAGATACCTAATCTGTACTTAGTATTTGCCCATTCCAATAATACGTGTGGTCGTGATGCATCACCCTAACTCGATTCAGTGATAATTACTATTTTTATATTCCGTGTGTTTGAAAATTGTCTCCATTGCGCGATCGTCGTTTATCCGATTATTGTCGTCGCTACTCAGTTGATTAATAATTTTCTATTGTTGTTAGAATCTATGCGAGTAAGTTAAATATTTCATATTTTCATATTATTCTTTACGAGTAAGTATAAATATTGTTTGCATTTCATTTTAACATTCGTACTATACAGTGACGTAATTGAGAATGTTTCATGGGGGGGATCAAAATAAATTTGTATGACAAACTTGTGGGGGGAAATGCCTCCTACACCTTCTTTATCTAAAGTTATCGAAAGTAAACGTGGAAACAAAACACCAGTACTTAACAACTTTAAATTTTTTATTGGATCAGTTAACAAATATCAACTAATTTTATATATAGTTACAATTTACATAACCAAGGTAACCCATACCATAATAAATCATTTTTTTTCACATTTTTATATCTGACAATTTTTTTAAATAAAATTTAACATTTTCTAACCTATGTTGTATATATTATATGATGCCTTTTCATTTATTAAATTAATAGTATATGTTAAATAAAATTATTACTGTGCTATAGCTTTTAATTTAAGCGTAGTATACAATTGTTTTGATAAAAATGTGATCAATATCTCATTTTGTTGAAAAGGGAAAGATATTCTTTTGGTGGAAACGGGCATCGCCCAATTTAGCATAGGTACCTTCAAAAATTTCAGAATGGATTGAAAATCTTTCTTCTATTTGTTGTATAAAAAAGTTTAATTTTATTCAACACTTAAATTGGGATTTGGGTTTGCTCGATTTACTTGTCATTTAGATATTCTTTTAGTACTTAAGTCTATATCTATAATTACTGACATCTCCTATTACAAATGTCAAATATAAACATAATTCTTTTCATATAATTCATATAATAATATACTTTATTTTAGTATACTTTAGCAAGTAAAAACAATTTGTGAAATTCAGTATCACAGTTTAATCTGATATTTTTTAATACAATGATAATATCTTCAGCAAGGCTTACTACTTCTGTTACATCAATTTTTTCCCTTATTTTTTCTTTTTGTAGAAATTTACACTATGGTAATCCAAAATAAAAAACCAACTAGAAAAATATTTTATTATAAAATAAAATAAACTATATTTATTAATTACTATTTACTTGTATAACTTGTAAGGATATAAGAATTTCTGAATCAATAGCTTTTAATAGTATATTAGCTTTAGATTCAGTGGAAACATTCCAATTAGAAATATTTTCTAATGATTCAACTACGAATGCAAATAATTCATTGAAATCTGTTACTGCATCATAATGTTGCATTCATTGTGTAACACATAATCTTTTTAAAGTTTTAATCTTAGGATCATCATTACTATTTTCAATGTTGGTTCAAAGAACATTTTGATATTTTGGTATATTAGAGAAAACATAGACGTTTACGGATAAATATTTATAACCGGGTTTTTTTTTTTTTTTTTTTTTAGTTTTGTAATAATTTATAAGTTTATATTTGAGCTATTTGTAGGTATAAGAAAATATATAAATACAGCTCATGGGGGGGATCTATCCCCCATATCCCCCCTGTAATCACGCCCCTGGTATTATATTATATTACCAAGCATGTATTTAATGCATAGGTTCTTAACCCGGGGTCCATGGACCCTTTGGGGGTCCGTAGATGACTATTCGGTGGTCCACGGGGTGGCTGTGAGTTTTTTTGAAATAAGCCAAAATAAATTTGTTTTGATAGTATTTTTAAAATAATTATGATTGTTAAAACATTCGAAAGCCATTTGAAAGACAACAAAGTTTTTAAATATAAAACTTAGATTACGATAATCTTATATGCCATAAAAAGCTATCGTAATCGTAAAATAATATAACATGGCAATACAATCTAACGAGCAGTTCAATTTAACACTGAAACCTATCACTTTTGTTGACCCGTTGCCGTATAATAAAAATTATATTTATTTACCTATACATATATTTTTTTTTTTTGCAGGGGGTCCGTGATTTTATTTTACGCTTTAAAGGGGTCCATGACTAAGAAAAGGTTAAGAATCTATGATCTAATGTAACATTATGAACATATTTAATGTACATAATGTTGTAATACACACTTAATCCTTACGACATAGGTGGTTTTTTTTTTTTTTTACTGTGTTCGTTTTCGAATTTACAATTTTTAATCAATTCTTACTTTCATTTTTAAATAAAATTCTCTACAATATGGTCATGCGTCGTTCACCGCTGTTTATCATAGTTTCTTTATGAGAACCTTATAATTAAATATTTATAATTTATGCTTAATCTATATACTAATACAAAAATATGATTTATTTTTTTAATTCAATTACATAGCCATGTAGATATTTTATTTATTTTTATTGTATATTTAGTTGTATGGCTTTTGAATGCCATTCATTATTTGATTAAAATTCATGCTAAACTGTTGTATTTTCTATTTCAGATCCAAAAATGTTTTGCTGTAGTGTTTGTAGTGTTATGTTTAATGGTGTTTATCCAGAATCCGTATTGACAACACTTTGTGGCCATTTATTTCATTCTGAATGTATTTTACAATGTTTAAAAAAGTATTAATTGTTTCAAATTCAGTTAATTTCATATTTTTTATTTTTGATAAAAAGAATCATTTAAAATTATAGCTCCCATTGCATTGTTCAAGATTTACTTCAGATTCTATTTTTTAATATTTATTATTATATATATATTTTTTATTATATTATGTCATTAATCAGATTTTGTACAAACCTGTTTTATAGATCACATAAATGTCCTTTTTGTACATTACACGTTGAGGAAAGCCAATTGATCAAACTAAACTTCCAAATAGATACTAATTGGAAAGATACTGCAGCTGCATTAAAAACTAAGGTATAATATTTTACTTTTTTTTTTTAATACTCTTAAATTTTTACCAATTACAGAGGACTTACAATAAATAATTATAATTTTATTATTAAACTAGTTAAGAAAAACTGTTTATAAATTTGTTTTATATTATTGTAGATTATGTTATTGATAATATTTCAATCATGCAGCATTAAGTTACTAGGATCTTGAAATGGCATGGTCTCAACAAAATTATTTAATTATGCAAAGTAAATTTAAAAATTAACAACATTGGCTGTCAGAAAATAAAAAAAAGATTTGTAGTATTTCACATATATTTGTATAATATTTTATACTACACAAAGGACAAACAGAATAATAAAGTTAGGATACTTAGCCTGCTTTAGCCCCCCCCTTATATAGGATACATAGGTTATAAGTTAGGTACATTATTTTATTTTCGTTTGAAAAAAAAAATAATAATAAGGCAGCTTCCCATTACAAAAATATTTACTAATTTAAAATTATTATCAAAAGTCTTTATAAAGAATAAAAAAATAAAATTAATATGATTTTTATATATCTAAAATTATTTCACTACAAAGTATTTTCTTATTTAATATTACTTCATTTTCTTAAAATTACTGTGGAAAGTAAATTACATGAAAAATAGACTGTTTTACTTTCATAGAAACTAAAATATGTATATTTGTTATTCATTAATATTTTATTTCAATGGTAAACAAGTGTAAAATAATGAATTTGTAATAAAACTGAGTATTTTACTAGGGTTGAGGTATAGTTTGGTAGAGTATTATTAATCTCTATTTTGTATACTTAGCCTAAGTTTATATGTTCTGATGGAATTTCTACTCTGAACGATTGATTTATAAACTTGTACATACTTTTTACCTTTATTTTTTACATAATACATTTAATTATCATTCAATTTTACATTTTAATTATAACATTTACATCGATCAAACTATAAAATAATAATTAAATTTGCTAGCTACTTTAAAATAATTATATTTTTAGACTCCCCTCTCTTTAAAAATTCCTGGTTGCGCCACTGATCTGAATACAATACATACAAAATATAATTTCTTTAATATATCCGCCTTGGATGTAATTATTTTTTCTTTTTTTTTTAATAAAATTAGATGTGTCTTGAACTATACTTAAGTTTAGTTTTAAAAATGAAATAAGATTTATGAATTATAAGCTAAATTAAATGGTAATTGTATTTTAAGTTTGGAAAAAACTTGAAACCATTTTATTAATTAAATGTAAGAAAATTATTGTACAAATTGATCAAGTGATATTCATATACATCTATTTTTCTTTTCAGGCCAATACAAGTGTCATTAATTTGGACGAATCATTGAATGAAACTATTAAAGACCTCACTTTATTTGGCAATATAAGTCTTATTGAAATTGATGAGGATGAATCAATTTCGGGTCGTGAATTTTTTGCAGTGAATAATCAAATAGAAAATGCTTTGCAAAACACAAAAACACTACTGACCACATCATTATCAAGTGTAAAATTATCAGTGACTGCACATGATTTACTTTTAATTTTTAATGATATTATTCCTAATTCAATCATATTAAAGCGCGAGCTTATATCTGAACTTAAAATAGTTAAAACTGCTATGGACCAAGGATTTACCAATTTATTAATTATAAATACTCAATCTGGTAATCCAGTTGGATTAACTTTTTTTGATTTATTAATACATCGTAAAACTTTTGTTGCCCTATCATCCTTTGAATGTTTTAAGTATAGTAATACTGTTGGTAAAATTGAGGTACCGCAGTTGGTTATAAACTACGATAGGAATTTGAATGAATCTCAAGAGTTTGTATTAACATTTTTCTCTACAATTCTTCCAAAACAATGTGATCATAAAACTTATGATTCAAATACAATTAATATTAATTATTGCAATGATTGCGAATCAATGAAATTTGAGTTTAACTTCATCGGTCTAAAGTTTTGTATGGTACCACAAACTAATTTTAATATTTTGCGTTAAATATCCTATGTATATACTGTATTTATTGATAATTATTTCCAATTTATTTAACAAAGATTATTTCATAGTATGTTTACAAAATAATTAAATTTTTCAAAATATAAGATTTATGAAAACCATAAGTTCAATGCTACAGTTATATACTTTTTATAGTTTATTTGTTTGTTTTTTTTATTATTTTATTTAGTTTGCTATATAATGTGCATTTGATGTTTATTTAATTTTATGTTGATAAAAAACTATTATTAATAAAACTCACAAAATCAAGTTAAGTTGTATTAAATATTGTTATTTTTTTTTCTTTATTAATTTTATTTATGTTATCCAAATTTATTAATTTTTTATTATAATTTTATTATAAGAATATAATGATTAAATAGTTTAACAACATGGTAACATATTGTTATAACAATTATAACATTATGTAAAAGTATTATTTCTCAATAAAGCACAGTTATGATTTTTATATTTAATCCTTATAGTTTTGTATACCGAAATAGGTAATATAAATATTTTAATCAGTTAATGATGCTAATTTAGTAGTGATAACTATTGGCCAATTACAAAAATTTATAATTATTTGTTTGGCAAAAATATATATACTATGTATTAGATATGTTCCAGGCACAGTGATTCTTAGGGAGAGTTACCAGATTTTTTTTTTAATTGGGCGGTCCTATCTAGTGTCTGGTCATCATACATCTTATGATTTTAGTAATGTGTTAGTTTTAATAAATAGGTTCTTCTAGTGTAGCCATACTGAATACAGTATAAACATCCGTCATATTACTTTAAAGAGTTAAGACCACAATCTAGATAACATTTTATTGTGATATATCTTATGTAACTTTTTGGTATAACTATAGGAAAAGAAAATTAAAAAAAAATTACTTAGTTTAGAAACAATTAAATATAATATTTAAAATAGCATACAATATACATGATAAATAATTTAACATCACACAAACGATTCCACAGAAAAAAAAAAAATTTAAAAGTATATGAATTATAATATAACAATATATTATTGGCTGAACAATTTAGTAGGTATTTAAATATAATTACAATATTTTTTCTTGGGGCAGAAAGTAAATTTTTATTTTAATTCTTAATAGCTTAAAATATTTTGAAACGTATATATAATAATTTTAAATATGATTATAATATAATTTTTTATATTCAATGGCAATAATAGCAAACAATAATAAATTGTGCTAAATGTTTACAAACCTATTTCTAGTTCCGAATTCGTGAAAAAATTATATTATGGATCGAATAATATTACATCTGTTGACTACATATACTATGAAGCCATACCCTGGGGTACCAACTTGGACTGCGCAATGTGGCCTTAGACCCATTTTGGTAAGATAAAAGTTTATGTTTCATTCTTGTAAATCTATGAATGCCTTGTGTCTTTAACTTAGGAAAATTCACTAGTCATTAATGTTATGCACATACCGTTCAAACGTTCATTGTTTTTGATATAAATATTTTATCGTTTTGTTATTTTTCCTTATATTATATATTTGGCCTACACCCTATTGGTTAGGGAAATTCACTAATTTGTCATCCTTTTTCAATTTTATTTAAAACTTTAAGTGTTTTGTCTAAAGTTAAAAAGTATGTTTTCGTTGTCTTTGTTGAGACATATTAATTTAATACGTAATACAACACTTAAACATACAATAAAAAATGTCAACATTAATTGAAATAAAAAAAAATTAAATATCTAATTGGTCTGGTCAGATTTATTCAGTTAGTTTTATAGTTTACTATAATAATTTTATGATAATAACAAAAAAATAAAATACAATCCGAAATTAAGAAAAAATGAAATAATATAAAATATGGTAGTGATATGAAATATATAATTGTACTTAATACTTCAATTTATAAAAAAAAAAACAAAGATTGTAACTATTAATTAATTAATCGAGTAAATATTTAAAATTTCATATTTGGTAAAGCTGGTAAAATGGTTTTGTTTAAATCCTTGAAATAATGATGCTGAAGTGCATCTCTTGCATTGATTCTTTTACTTGGATCATAAATCAACATTTGCTAAAATTAAAATAAAACATTAATAATTTTAATTAAAATGGTTATTTGTTTAAAATTACCTGTATCAAGTCTATTCCATCAGAGTTGAGGTTTTTAATTGAATCCTTTAATATGGATTCACTCCATTTTGGGAATGTTGGTTTATAATCTTTAAGTTCTGAAACTCCTGGCCATGTGTCTTCATTTGGAGTAGTTAAAATCCTATACAATTAAGTTCAATACAATTTTTATAAAGAAGAATAAAGTGACTAAAACTAAAAATAATTTACATTACCTGAAAATATGAAACAATTGATCAATTTCTGAATCTCCCTGAAATAATGGCTTCCCTTGTGCCATTTCAGCAAATATACATCCTATAGACCAAACATCAATTGGGCAACCATAACGTTGAGTATTTAGTAATACTTCAGGAGCTCTATACCATAAAGTTACAACCTAAAATAATAATTTAATGTATACTAATATTCATATAAATTAGTATCAATTCCCCACGTAAAATGTGCCAATCACAATAATACAGTGAAACTTCTATATAACAAAGTCTAATGGGCAACTAAATTTTATAATATAGAACAATTTGTAAAAAAAATTATAGATTTTTTTAATAAAATTATATACATACATGTATAATTTTAGAATAAAGTTTAATAATTGACAGTGACAAATATAGATTTATTGTTGATTAATTTATTTGTAATATAAAAATATCAGATTTGTTATTTGGAGAAAAATATACATATAATCAACAATAAGACATAGTTTTTAAAAATACTTCGATACATGGATGTTTTACTTTATTAATATTTAATTAGAAGTACTTTCAATTTTTTTTATAAGCACTTAAAAAACTTAAGCACTGGTTAGAATTGCTTTTACAAGCATTATGATATATTAATTAATAATATATTTATCAGAGAGATCCATAAAATTTATGTTGTAACTAATATACTAATGATAATTAAGGTAAGATAATATATTTTTATTACTAAGCATAAAAAATAAAAGTAAAAGCTAAAGAAGAAGAAGAAGAAGAAGAAGAAGAAGAAGAAGAAGCATAAAAAATATTTTAATAAAAAAAAATCATTAGAAAAGTGAATTATAAATTAAATTAAAACATTTTAGACTTATGGTTGTATATTATCAATAATAAAAGAAAATATTTTCTTTTTTATAGTTCATATTTTAAATTGATGTTAATTAATTTAAAGTTGTTAAGTGAATACATAATATTGTAATAAAATCAATAATATTAAAAAAAATTAACAGATATGGAATAATATCAATAAAAAAAAAGTAAGGAAAACAAGTATAATTATTTTAGAAGGTTCTTACTTTTAAGTATTGATAAAATAATTTTAAATACCTCATGTGTAAAAACACTTATTGGTAAACCAAAAGTACGACCCAAGCCAAAATCAGCAACTTTTAATATATTGTGCTTAGTGTCAATTAAAATGTTCTGTGGCTTCAGATCTCTATGCAATATTCGTCTTACATGGCAAAAATATATAGCAACTAACAGCTATATTATAAAATAAAAAGTAATAAATAAATGGATACATTTAAAATTATTTATATTGTTTATATAATACAATATCATAAAAATATAAATACTTACCTGATAAGTAAATGATTTTGTAGTAATTTCATCTAAATGTTTTTTTGGCCTTGTATCAATGAACTTTTTTAAATCCATAGGAACAAACTCAAATACAAGATATAATCTTGAATCATCCATAAGAATTTCTCTTAAACTGTTGAATTTATAATAAAACATATTATCATGTAAATAAAAGATATATTTTATAAAGTTACTTCACAATATTTGGGTGATTGAGTTCCTTTAAAATAGTAATTTCTCGGATAGCTGTAGATGGTATGCCTTCATCTTCTATTTCCATGCGAATCTTTTTTACAGCAACAATTTCTGTAGATGATCGTTCAATACATTTATACACAACACCATATGTTCCTTCTCCAATTTTTTCTAATTTATCGTAAGCGTCCATTTTGACCCTTAAAAATCAACCTCTAGTATTAAAATAGTAATTTTACGTATAATTAAATAAAAAATTAAATATAAACTATTACAGATTACATAATATTAGATTTTATAAATAATAATTAGGTATAGTATTGTTGGTGGTGAATAAGTGAATTAATCTAGTGGCGACCGTATCACATAATATCAAATATGAATGTTAAAGTATTTTTAACCCAACCGATAAGACATGGATGCAATTATTTTCAATTTTGAACACTTGACTTGGTTAGTTGGGTTATTTAATCTGTGGTTGTCTTGAGTACGAAATATGAATAATGTAATGTCCTACGAATTACGATTACTATTATTTAATATTTATTATTACTACCACTAGGTATGAATTTCGTCGTTGTTCTTTACTCTGACAGCTTCTTGCACAGTTTTGAATTATTTTAATTTATTATTATTTACAGTTCAATTCAATTCAATAATTTATCAGAATCGATTTTACATAGATTTATATAAATAAATTACATTATTGTCTTTGCATTTTTTTTAAACTTGTTTATTTCAATTTTCACACGACTTACGAGTTACAAGTATGTCTTCAAAATATGATGTTAGTCCTTGCGGAAAAAATTTAAAAATAATAAATAATGAATACACAATTCTGATCTTCATTTTAAATCCTGCGAAAAACGAAAACTTGTAAATGATTCTAAGTTAACAATTAATACATTTTTTGTTGTTAATTGTCCAGAACTTAAATCTTCAAAAAAAAATCAAATTCTAAACACTATATAATAGTATGTAAGTATACTAATATATATCTATATTAGATTTAATATATGAAATTATATTTGGTTAAAGATATAGTTCTGTCTATAATAGACTAGTTAAATTTTTAACCAAAAAATAGAAAATGTCTTCTATTTCGGATTTAAATCATGATTATTTTTTATATTATGTTTTTAATTAGGTGATTTAAACACTGTGAATGTGACAAACATCAATTCAACATAACGATCATTTCTCGTCAATACGTAGTACATACATCATTTGACGATTAATGACATTTACTATCAATTTAATTCATTAATTTAATATTTTTAAATGTTTTAATGAACATTATGAATTTTTTTTCAGAGCATATTTCTACTGACATGTAAATACGTCGGCCATCAGTCAACAGACTCGACGCGCAAACTTCTTATTAGTTATTCTATTCTCGGTTTCTTCTTATCACTTGCTGTTCTTACTTCGCTTGTTGTCCGTTTATAATTTGAAATTTATGCATAATTTAAAATTTTTTTTGTTCAATCAATATTATAAAATATGAATCCAAACTACGACGATGAGGAGCGTAATATACTCTTATTCCTTTTATTTTGTTTATAATTAATATAAATTAGAGGTGTTCCGTGTATCAAATACTCGATGTAATGATTAAGACTTGGCCCTTACCCAGTACCTGGTGATCCTAAATTTTTGACTCGTCCCTTTCCCGGTACCCGACTTAACACTTAATTTTTACCCAGCTAATACTCAGCACCCGGCTTGTAATCAATTTTCTACCCGGAAATTTCTACTGTGTACATAGCGTCTTTTAAACATGTGACTACTGCAAAAAAAAATTAAGTACACATTTTTGTTGCCAACCCATAAGTCTATTTTGTATTGCTGATTTCCATGATGTATATATAATCGTTATGGGCTGTTGTAGGTACAAACTGATAATTATCTAAACATACTATTATTAGCTATTGTCGAACTGCTCGATTTAAAATGTATATATGTCTAAGAGTTTGTGTCATTTTGGATTTCTTTTGGAAGTCAATGTATCAAAAACTTAAAGTATTTACATTTTTTCTTTAAAAATTATAGCAACATGTACAATTTCAAACTGGCCGATTTTAAGAATACATTATCCGTAATAAAACAATATTTTTCAACTGATTATAGAACATATAGACATTTAATATAACAAAAACATTGGATGAATGAGATTCGACCAATGTTTTTTATGTTATTAGTTGCCTTATACACTATAATTTGCTAATGAACGATGACAGGGAAATACTTTGAATAATAACACGAAACTCTGAAATTGCTAACTTAAAAAATCCAAATCCGGTAAAAATTTAAACCGCCATATTTATTACGTAACTCGTATTATTTACCGCCATTACTTAGTAGATACGTATACGAGTCGAAAGGATTATAATAATTTATAATAAAACTAGAAATAAACTTTATTCAATTAAAATCACGTACTGTAACATTTAACACGTATTAAAACATTAACGTATTTAACATTTATGAAACGTAAATAATAAAATGACCTAATAGTATAAAAATTAATATTTTCAAAACAATGGAACCGTGGAAGTCGCAGTGGTTGTTGGCAGCCTAGACCAGGTACCAGGATCGCAGTAGAAACGTACTCGACGTTCGAGCCGAGTGCCTGTCCATTCTCCCTCGGTTTAATCTTTATTCGATGGTCACCTTCGTTGCACGGTACGCCGCCGCCCATGACGGTACACCATTCTACATATAGCCCTAGTACGAATTTAGATCAAACGTGCAATCGGCAACGGAGACTGACGTTGAGGATCTGAGTGAATGGTTTTGATCCTGCCTGCATTATAAAATTTTTTGGCTGCTTCACAAACGTATTGTAATAATTAACAGTTATTTTGTTGTTTCGTTCGTTACTAACATGTGACTAAATTTATAAATTGTAATAAACAAAATAAAATTGACTCAGTGATTTTTATTTTCTTTATTTTTGTGACGATATTTTTTTTCACGTTGTATAATACAAAATTTCATCACTTTATCATTTAAATTGTAACTATGTTTTGATTACTTCGTATTACTTTCACTTCAACACTGTAATTATTAATTTTTGAATTTGCTCATGTATCATTATATTATATTATAGATACGACGTGTAACAATAATTTGAAAATCGTTTAAACGTAGTGATTTGTTTGATTAAGTTATTAAATTTTGTATAATAAGGTTACATTGCAGTGATTAAAACTGGGGGGATGGCCACAATATAATTTACTTTAATAATTAGTTTATCGTTATTGAGTACTTTTTATAGTTACTCGTTTACGTTAGTCGGACAATACGCGCGATTGTAATATCGATATTTATTTAATGTGAATACATTAGGACCGTTGTTAGGTTTGAGCGTTCTCCAGTTTTCCGTTTTCGTAACCGTGTTAGTAGTATTATTGAGTGAATTGTCTTCATTGACTGGGTTGAACACCTTACAACATTCGTTTCCAATAATTTCGTTTTGAGTCAAAAAATTGATCATCAAGTCCAAGTCAAAGCGCATCACCTTCGTTTTTACAAAAGTTTTTGATAAGTCATTGATTTTCTCAAACAGTCGTCTTACCAATGCAACATTTTCTGCAGACAACTTTTCGTTTTCCAAATTTTTTTCCAGTTCATCTAATATAATTTTTAATAGATTCAGCTTTTGAGTTTGCCGGCTAAATTTTGATTTGAACACCTGAAAAGAAAAATGTATCGGTCTAGTAAATCAATTTACCAAGTAACGGAGAAAAGAATGGTACTGCACTTACTTGCAACTTGCGAATAAACGCTGAGACTTTATTATTAAGTAACTTGTCTATATAAATCAGAGCTCCAACAATATCGTTTTTATTAAGTAGCTGATAAGATATTATAAGAATTAAAATCGTACACTGAGAAGATATTGATTGGTATACGTTCAAATAACTGTCAAGAATTAGCACAACGTCTGTGTTGTAGGGATCCATAATAAACAATAAACGTACATAATCAATGGATGCACTGAAACATTTACCGTCGGATGCCATTTTAAAATACATATTCGCTTTTTCCATATTCTAGAAAAAATAATAAGTCAAACATGATTTACAATATATTTATAAAATGTATACAAAAAATTATATTATTTTTTAATTACTAATCGAACGGATAAACAGTTACATAATCATTGTATAAATTGTATGGGCACGTGCTTATAGCAAAATACTAAAAATAGATGTATAATCTTATAACCTTTTCACAACACATGTAGTAGTGTCCAATAGATTCGTATATATAACTATTGTGACTGTTTTCCATTTTGGAGATAATCGTTGTGGCTAACGAATAAACTTGATGGCTAACATTTTTAGCTTTCGATATCTTTGTGATTGTTTTCAAACAACGTCTTAACGTAAATAAGTCGTCCGAATCATTTACTATGTTCCTGTAAATAAAACAATACAGTGTTATATTATCCATAAAATTACTGAGTTGGTGCCTTGTGATATCATTCTAAATATGGATACAAATAAATCATAACACCAAAAGGTCTCAAACAGATTATATAGTTTTTTTTTTTTTTATAGGTACTAAATTTTTCTTTACGTAACATCAAAAATATTATAGACACGTTAGCAAACGTGAAGCTCGAAGCACAATTCTCCTTAGATTTTTATTTTACACATAATATGTATTTACATACATATATAATAAATACCATATTATAATTTTATGCAACTCTTTATAGAATTATGATTTTCATCATGACAGTTTAGCCATGTCAAATAATAAGTAAAAGTATGGTTATTATGTAGTCTTTAATTTGTCGCGTAACAAGGTTTTTCTAAACAAGATTATTATATTTTTAATTTTTTTCTCGCTCTCTATTTTCCTTAATTTCTTTTTTCTTGTACCTTACTATTATAGTTATTATATTATATTATATTAACTACTGTATGTAATATCTATAATCACATTGAACTGTTTTGCCCTCAGAGGCGTTATTCTCAAATTAAATAAATAAATATCGTCCAGGTTAGGTTAATACCCATGAACTCAATTATTAATGAAATATAATCATAATTCAGTAATTAAAATATATTATAATGTTTTAATAATACGTGTAAGAATTTGAACGTGTGATATGAATATTAATAACGAAGTAATATAGGTACCAGTGGTGTGAAATAAATCCGGATTCTCCGAAAATCCGAAAAATCCGGATTTCGGATTTTCAAATCCAAATTTCGAATTTTCGGATTTCAAATCCGAATTTCGAATTTTCGGATTTGAAAATCCGAATATTTGGGTTTCACATTGTAGATTTCTGTATTCTAAAGCAGAAAATAAAAATTTGTCGTTATAAATTCTAATATAAAAAAACGAACATTTTCTATTTTAAATAAAAAACATTCAACGTTCCACTCAGAATCTAAAATTATTTGAACTTTAAAATTGTAATACATATTTTTGCGCTTCACTTTGTGAACAGTATTAAGTTTTAGTTATTAAAAAATAAAAATTATAGTACCATAAAAATGGTAGTAAATTAAGATTGTAGACTTTGATAGTATACTTCCACTTTGACTTTTGCGATAAGATAAATCAAACAGACTGTGTGTTCGCTACCATGTTTAAAAACACAGTTTCCAAAGATTTGGCTAAAAGATTTTCGATGGAAAGTGGGTCAGAGAAAAATACTAATGAAATACCGGTGAATGTATCTCAAATAGCAAGTCTGCTTGATCTTAGGTACAAAAATTTAAAATTTGAACACTCGGAAGAAATTAAATACCGTATTCAATCAATTGTTCATTCAAAAGTATTATCTGTAAATCAAATTTCGACAACTGTATGTGGCAATACTCAAATTGCAAAAAAAACTATATTAGACGAGCTAATGGGCCAATTCTCTGATGATGATGAGGACGAATTTACTCGTTATTTGTCAGAGCCTCAAATAAACCATAACGACAATCCATGTTTATGGTGGAAAGCACGGGAAAATGTATATCCTAAAATATCAGTTTTGGCAAAAAATATTTTATGCATTCCTGCTTCATCAACATCGTCCGAACGTGTATTTTCTACAGCAGGTAATATAATTACACCCAAGCGAAACCGAATGACGCCATATCATTTGTCAGCATTGGTATTTTTGAAAAACCAGGCATAATATTAACAACTTATTATTATTTAAAATATTATTAATATTATTATAACCATAGAAGTATTATTTTCATTGTTACTATTATAAATTATTATTATTTAATTATTTATTTATTTATAATTATTATTTCAAACTTAAATTATTATATTTGTAACCTAACCTAACCCTATTTAGGTATTATTTATTGTGTATTTTTGGATAAATTATTCTGCTACTTATAAATGTTGTTACTAATTTCATGTATAAACTGAGTTTAGGTTGTAATATCTACACGTTATTGCAATATTGATGATTGTTATTGTTATATTTTTGCTTTAAAAGTTTTCCTATAAATATATTAATTTTTTACAAAAAAAAAAAAATCTGTATTTATCAAGGCTTTAATATAAGGAATCCATAAAAAATATTAATTTAATGCTTCAAAATCCGAAATCCGGATTTCGGTTAAAATCCGAATTTGAATTCCGAAATCCGAATTTTTATCCGAATCCGGATTACGGATTTCGAATTTCACGAATCCGGATTTTCGAACTTCGGTAAATCCGGATTTTTCCCAACACTAATAGGTACATATGTCACAGTGGCGGTTCGTGCTAAGGTGATAGATTTACGTACATTTTAAAATATAATGATATTTGCAATTATACCAGTTATAGTACCTAAATAGAAACCATGATGGTGTATTTTTCTTATAATTTAAGATAAGAATTATATTGTAAAATAATAATATTTAAAAAAAAGTATTCAATGCGATAAAATAATCTAGCACGAGTTCGATATTTACGTATAATCAGGAGTGGACTCACAGTTAGAGAATTAAGGCTATTTCAAGATGTCAATTTTTAGGACTAAAACTGGATTATAAGAATATACCTTGTAACAATAAAATAACATGATTATATAATATATATTTTTAAGTTCATAATTATCATTGAAAACATTAACATTTAACATTCATTTTATTTTATGGAGAATTCCGTTTTATATGGGGTTCGGCATGTAGGTGTTTTATTGTACTATACAATTAAACCAGTGGCGTAACTTTAGGGGGTTGAAAACTGAGACATTTGCTACAGTATAGTGTTAACTTCAACCTATAGTTGGCACACTAAATAAATATAAGTCTTCAAGAAGCTAATTTCGTTAGTAAATATTAACTGTCAGCTGAACTCCTGAACCTCCTCCTTCTAGATCCGCCCTGCTTCTAATAATAGTTAAAGAAATTACATCAGACATAAATGATTGTGAAGTACTTGATATCAATATCAGTGATATTAATCATAACTCGTATTATTTTTAAAATGTTTGGTAATAATAAAGTGAGTTACGTTTATGCGATCACATGAATACACGTTATTTTTTTTTCATAAAACATTCGATTTTAAACGAATCCAATAAGTATGTATTTTTTAAATTCTCTTTAAAGCTTTCTCTTCTAAAATAGAATTACTGACTGATACGTGTACATTTCGACCTTGTTGAAACCATAATTTCAAACAATCTTCTGACGCATTGACATTGTGTCCATTCCGTTTTACCGAGAAAAAGAGACATTCCGTTTTCTACAATTTACATATGATTTTTTAAAAATTTAGTTTTATGAAGACTGGGAAATTCTCAGAGTCGATGCGGCTTCTCTTTACAAACATTTTCGAACTTATCTAAACGTATAAGTAAATCTTTTTTTTTCTTTTATTGATAAATCTTTCCATTTACCATTTGAGGCGAAGCGTTCTACAACGATAACTGAAGCTGAACCGTACACCAAATATTTCTTAAATTAAATTGATTTTATAACTTCATAAGTTATCATAAAATTAATAGAAATGTTTAAAAAAAATATAACAAAAATTCTAATGAAATTTCAATATGACACCGATAACATAAAATTATTTTTCTTTTTCGATTCCAATAAACGACCAGTGATCACATCAAATGGAACTCGTTACAAAATATACCAGCCAGATACCATACACAAAACGTGTCCCTATGTATTCTCGGTCCTATTCGTATTACAATACAGCGTTAACTTCGATCGACTTACTTGATCAACGTTATTGCTTTGAGCGTGTCCGTTATGTAACTGCCCGCGTAGTACACGCGGTCGGAGTGCAGCAACTTTGCCAAGTGACATTTGTAATGCGCGTTGTCGGACATACCAACGGCGAGTTCGGCTTCTTGGATTTCTTGTGGCAGAACGCTGGTCATGCGCAGCCGCTTCCGGTAATGAGTCAAACCGTGCGACAGCATGTAATGCCATTCCGGTTCCGCAGGGTTCAGGGCGATCGCGCGGACTATGCACATCTTGGACAGAATACACCACTTGTTGACGTACCTGGCCAAGAATATGGACTGCACGGCGTACAGGGCCGCCTCGTTGGCCGCGTCCATATCACGCAGCGCCACGAACGAATCGTGCAAGTCCTGTAAAATTAGAAAATTCGTTTGGTTACGGAATTATAGAATTGTTTGAATCCTTTTTTGCTTTCTTTCATATTAACCCGCGAAATCTATCGAAAATCAATTACCAGTAACGTCTGTCAATACGATGATAAGAATGTACGTTACTGTTTCCTTGTTATCAATCAAATTTATGAAAATAAATAAATTACACCGACCCAAAAATCCAGATACTTGTATAATTATTATTCCGTTCTAATTGTTGTACGAATTTCGATAGTGGGTACCTAAATCTTATCTACCGAATTACATTTGAGTCGAGTCCATACCTTCATGTGCCTACTAGACATTACTCTGGTCGAAACAGATATTATACCGTTATACGTATGTATGAAACTAATAATAATTTACATAGTTTGTACGTTTGTGAACACGTATCAACATATAATTGTTTTTTCTTGCTTTCTAATATAATCTACAATAACGTTGAGTCAAAGACGTTTTGTTCACTAATAATTATTATAATTAGTGATACTTGCTCATTGCTCACTGTAAGTCTCACCACTTCCATGGTCTATTGTGTACCGAAACATTATTGGTACCATTGCAATCCTCGTTTTTAGCCCAATTGAGTGTTGCAAATATATTAACAGTTGTTAGGGTTTTGTTATTGACATATTAAAATACCGATAAAGCCGCGTACATATTTAAACATGTATTTTTTTGTGAATTGTAAATCGAATTACAATTTAAAAATGAACCGTGTAATAAATGCGAATAAAATCCGTAGTGTGTCGGTTTCTATCATAAATTTAAAAAGGTAACAGCGGCAGGGAAGTATAGTAATAACATTGATCAATAATAGATGTAGCGGAAGTTGGCGGGATTTTTTTTTTTTAAAAATTCTGTGGTAAAATCCCCAAAGTATCGCGCAGTAAATTTAAATAATAATGCCCGTGTGCTTATATATCTTAAGATTTACAATTGTAACCGATAATTGGTGTACAAATAAGTTGTCTAATGGTTAATAATATAATATAAATGCACAAAATATTTTGTTAATTATAATTATTGTTTGTACCTAACTACTAATAATCAATAACAGTATAGACAATTTCGTAATTTATATATATTATATGTCATTAAATATAGTTGCAAAAATAAAGGTACAAAATATAAGCATCGTACATTAGCTACATTTAGATTCTAAATTTCTAAATTTTAAAATAATGAGTCTAATGGACACGTTATAATGTTTTAACTAAAGACCGGATTTAATTGATATTGCAACTTTTTATTGATACCCGGTATATCAAATCTGATCAAATATGTGAACGAATCAGATTAATTACAGCCTTCCTATTTGATTTAAAAATGAAATTTTTTGAAATTTTCAACGATTTTGCAAATTTTGCAATTACTGTGATTTTTGTTTACGTGATAAAATATACAAATTATTATTTCCAAAGTGAATTTATAAAAAAAAATATAACTACGATATACATTTTTACATGTAGTTAAATGTAGTTTAGGATTTTTAAAATTATATTTATCTGAGTTATCCACAAAACTCATAAGTTTAGAAGAATCAAATAGTCAATTACGCGTACATCGGTTAAATGTATAAATCGTTAAATAAGGATCCCCAAAAAAAAACTTAACGGTGAAAAAAGGCCAAGTTCCGAACTCCCTCCCAATAAAGTCGACCTATCAAAGTAGTGAAATCTACATTGTGGCCAAGTCTGGTATTTTTTAATTCATAATCTCACTGCACTCCTACATTAAAGAGCAACACTCCTCTTTTATTTGTATTGGTTAATACTTGGCCAGTTTCTGAATGAGGCATTAACTAGATTTTGCCGTAATGTAGATACCACTACCTACTATGATTCGCTTTTTTTTTAAGAAAAAATCTGAACCTTTTCCTTTTTGTCTGAGTTCTCTTCTCCTCATCACCCACGTTACGTTAGCTTAAAATTTCAAATTTTAAAATCCTCCCATTTCGAAATGGTACAATATTAAGGGCTAATTTTCTTACAGCGTCCTAAGTTACTCGAGATTAATCTGTGTTTTAAATTTCAAAAGTTTATCTTAAGAGGAAACAGATATATATGGGTTCGTGTAAAGATACAATGGCATTGTTGGAACTTGGTCGGCGCACTGCCGTGCGCTCAGATGTAGGTATATTAGTTGACTCAGGAATGCTGATAGATTGTATTGCCAGTTAATTTACTACAGTTACGTAATACTTTGTACTCCAAATGTTATTATGTAAATGTAATTGTATAATATACGACTCATTGGTTATTAGAAAAACATAAACACTGCAGTATAAAATGTAATTAGCTTGACATTCACCGATATATCTACTCCGCTAATGTGTTACAACCAACAATTTATCAAACTTGTTAATTATTTTGTTGACGTATTTATTGGGTGGTACATTTTTTGTAACCTTTAACTCAAAACATTTGTTTTATCTTGCTTGTTCTAATATTTACAAATGATTAAAACAAACTCATGTCCGATTGTTCTTTAGTCAAAACTATTTGCAGTATGGTTGTGTTTCGATTAATCAAAAATAATCAATACATAGCAGGAATGCATATAACCATTATTCAGTTAAGATTGATTTAAATTCGTTTTTCAATAATAACTGAATATTCAAAAATCTAATTTATTATAACTAATATTAATTAATTTATCATATAATAATATCCATATACAATTTAACGAGTTACTTCGAAGATTGATAGTTAAGTGGTTTATGATTGAAAAATTAACAGCTGAAGTCGTATGTTATCTATGGTATAATTACCTATTTTTGTCAAAATCATAATTATTATAACGTTAATAACATTGACCGGATTTATCCAAGAGCCAAAAAATAATTTTATAAGTATACACGAATGTCGCCGTATATTTGTTATTGCTATTTCGTATATTGTTGGCAATATTCGAAACTCGAAGAAAAACATCTGTGAAAATCACGATGGAGGAATGGAGGATTGTATTTGACAGCCATAATAGAGAAAGAATTCTTAGTGGTGCATAGTCTTAACGATTCCATTATCCAATGATTTTATCAAAAAAAAAAAAAATTGATGTATACTTGAAGTAAGGTGGAAGAACTTAAATAAGTAAATAAAAGTAAAAGTAAATAAAGTAATAATAAGTAAATACGCACAAAGAACATTTTCAATTGTATCATTAGAATATGTATATATATACATGCAAAACACACACGAAGAAGAGTAATATTAGTTAATTTTTTTTTAATTCCCAAATAATGGTGAACTATTTAATAGTACTTAACCATTATTTGGGAATTAAAAAAAAATTAACTAACTAATAATAATAATAATAATTAACTAATTAATAGTACTTAGAAAATATCTTATCAAATTTTCAGTCTGTTTGGTAAGAAAAGGTTCGCTAATATCAAAGAGATAAAATATTTGGATATACGAAGTAAAAAAAAAAAAGAAAAAAAGGGAATCCGTGCGGTCTTAAGACGTAAAATAAAATTAAAATCCACTTCAGAACGGACTACAAACATTTATACCTATACCTAAATCCAAATCAGCCGACTGAATCCAGTTTTTATTTAATATATTAATTTTTGTTGTGTCGTTTTATTATATTATGGCGATCAACATGGGCAATAAGTGAATTATGCGTTTGTAATGAATATTTAAAATGCTTTAAATGTATTCGAATAATACTAAAACAAAAAATACGTTGTATTATAGGTACCTCGGTGCTCTTATTACTCTTGACCAAAACATATCCTTTTGTGCTCAATGTGATGTGGCGCAAAGCATTGCTTATAGAATCCAAGAAATCGGTCGTGTTCTCCGTTATTTTGGAATGTGATGACAGTATTTTTTCCGTCTCGTTGATTATTTCTAAAGCGTTGTCCAAATGATCTTGCATGATATAATTGAAAGTTATGTAAGTGTTGTAAAGGAATCTAGAACAATCAAGAACAAGTATTTTCACACATTTTTCTCGATATTTGAAATCATATATTTATACGTTTTAAATATCAAATATTAGTAGTTTATAAGTAGTTTAACTAAGAATACATGTACAATATCCATACGTGAGCTTTCATTAGGACGGTTATACCTTTACTGTACTGTATTAGCTGAATTAACCGGCCGCGTCAGGAAGATGGTTATATTACTTAAGACATTGACAATTACAGTTTCGACGGAAGGAAAAATTTAGATTAAAGAAAGTTGAATTGCAACAGTGGCGCATATTCTATCATCCATATGATGTTATATAAAAATAATATCCTAGAACAACTGAAATAAATGCTGAGTTCATAATTAAATATATTGACAGCATTGAGTTATAACTTTAATTTTGAAAGTCTTTTAACTAAAATCCAAATTGTTACGAACAGTACATCTCAGTACCAGTGTACCCTAATCTAACACGATACCACCTACATAAATAAAACATAGGGATCGAAAGCCATTGAATTCTAGAAATTTCATCGTATGTTCTAATGATATTTATTTTTATTTATTTATACGGGTCTGATATGTTTGTCCGACATAACATTTACCCGAGGCCCGACAATATATTTTACATATTTTTACTGTACGTAATACTGATATACAATATTTTATTACTATTTCATTATTTTATTATTATTATTATTTATTAATATACAATAATTAAAAAAAAAATCTAAATCAGACGAATATTTTATCATGGATATTGCCGTTCTATGTGAAAAGGTACTAAGTATTAAGTATAGTATAGTATATTATATTATTAAGTTCTCAATTGTGTTACAAAAAATGTTCTGTCGTTCCGTTCTCAATTGTATTTTACCGCTATTCGCGATAGATTCATAAGAATCGTTCATAACATTAAATTTTAAGTATTATAATATGTGTTATTATTAATTTTTGATACAATTATTAATTGTATAATTTTAAAATTAATCATTAATTTGTTAATAACATAATAAGTATAATATATTTTATTGACATTTTTAATAATTTTTGACGCATATTTATTTATAATATAATTTGAGGTTGTCGGGCAAGTGTAGTGTCGGGTAAATGGTGTCGGGCAAATACACTGATCCCTATTTATACTACATCGAATTTACACACTAACCTCAATCGGTAATTATTAAAATCAAATGTTCAAAAAAAAAAAAATATTCATAAATATGTATTATAAGCCACCAACATTTGGGAACACATTTATACGTACGACCGAAAAACTGTTTCAAAGATTATAATGCGATCTCCAACAAATTCTTTCTCAGTGCACACAACAATAGTAGAGTTCCGGTAAAAAAATGTTTAGTGTGGGTGGATCAGTAGCTCAGTAGTTACATAATTAACGTTTTAACGTTAAAGTATTTACAATGTAAATCGAACGAGGACAGAACATTTTTTTTCATATAGGTGAGTTAGTGCCAATGCCCTCAAAAAGTCTAAAATGGATTGGTGCACGATCGAGTGACATCCGATGATCAGAGGTGGAACTAGAAATTTTTACGCCTGGGGAAAATGTTAAAATTACGCCCTATCATAGACCAATAATCAAATACTATAAATTATTTTCTAATAACTAATATACAATCATACTTATTGGGTTTTAACCTAATAAGTTAGGGTTAAAAAAATGAATTAAAAAAATAGTTTTAACAAAGTTAAAAATATCAAATTAATTAGTTGTTAACAATTACAAAAATTACATCCTCTGCAATTTTACATCTGGGGATAAATCGCCGTCTTCAAACCCCTAGTTCCACCCCTGCCTATGATACACATAATAGGTACATGCAAGGGTGCCCGCAGATGAAAATTCAGAGAGGGACAGTATTAATTTTTATGAATAATCAAATACTTTTATACTAATTAAACACTTTTATTAACTAATTGAACACAAATTGCAATTTTATTTTTCCCAAATACATCAACAACTTTTTCAGCTAAATGAAATTCTTCGATTTTTTTTCTGTGTAAACTTAACATAGGTACATAATCCGGACAAACGATTCTCACACATTGTTGAACGTAACCAGCTATAAATATTAATACACCTTGATACCAATTATGATTTTTGGGATTTTGGGATATTAAATTTGGATATAATTATTTTAAATAGCTGGAAAGCTAGGAGGGGAGAGTTGTCCCCCTGCCTATCCTTGCGGGCGCCCTTGGGTACATGTGATAAACGTTGTAAATAAATAATTTATAAATCTAGATCGATAGGTGCGTAGGTGCTGGCTACAATAGTATTGTCGCCATAACAATAACGCGGCGAGTTTCGGAAAGCCGGAAAAGAGACCAAACATCGCCGACTAGTAAACGGTAAAAATACTTACAGATCCCAAACGTATTCCGGTTTGTTGTCGGCGTACTGTTCCGTCAATACGGTATGCTTCATGTCCATCACGCTGTGCAGGCCCAACTTGGGGGTGAGGTTGTCGCGCACGGGGTGCCGACGGTACCACGACACGGGGTTGCTGCACTCGTCCAAGAAGTAGTCGGGCCGGTCGTCGGACGACGGGAGGCGCACGTGCTCAACCATGACGAGGTTTTATTGATATGACTCGGGTCTTCCAGCAGTACTGCTAGCACGAGGGACTCGAACGTGGAAAGCGCGACCCGACTCGGACGGTCGTGTCGAAACCAAACAACGCTCTTTGTGTAACGTTAATGTTCGTCGATGCAACGAGCAAAGGTCCCCATGTGTTGCGCCCACAGACAATGGGGGGAGGGGCTATTAACGTGTTTGTGTACATTGCGCGACGTAAACACATTAATGCGACCGGTTGTCGGTCTAGAGCGTCTAAACCCGCGAACCGATCGACGAAAAACAATACGTACGACGCTGCTAATGTTCGCGGGCGGAACTCTGGACGGATTCGACGTACAACCGCGGACGAGGGAGGTGGGGCTAAAGCCGAACAGATCAAAACCGAAATCATTACTTTTGACCGCACCCGCACAAGTGTAGCGAAGACCACATCAATACGACTTGGTAGCTTTCGGTACCTACCACTTCTTCGAACAGCGATTTTCCTCGTTTGACCTTTACGATCACTTTCGGTGTACTTGATAGATTTTCATTCTCGTTTAACGCAACTAAAAAAAAAAAAAAAATCACATTTATTACAAACTTGGTTGATGAAGAGTAAGACTAGAGTGTAGTTCTACGACTACGATAGCAACTTTGTTTCATACAACTTTCCAAAACACCCTTTCACGTTTTGTTTTGTTATTACGTGCTGTTGAGATTTTATCACTTCGGATTATGTTTCGCACTATTTTGTGGAAAATAAACATTTATAATCGGTGGGGTTTTAATGTGTACGAGTTTAATGATTAAGATTCGGTACAATTTATCTTAGTTACTTAGACTTCGATAATTGTTTAAAAATGTACTGTCATATGCATATTTATATTCTAAGTTTCAAAACATACATTAAAATATATTACGTTCACCACACCACTGGTCTAATTACTGATTTATTATACCCGTTTAGTTGTTCAGGTGACGTTTTATAAAAAAAATTTCCATCAATATTTGAAAATAAATTAAAAATGTTTCTTAACCATTAATATCATAATAAAGATTAAAAAAATATTTAGAACTATGAATTTCCATATTTCTAAAAAATAATATATAATACAACATAAAATTTCTTAATTTTTAAGAATTTCATAATTTTATAATTACTATAATATGAAAACAATAACATAATAAATTAATAAAAACAAAAAAAATATTTAAACAATTTTCCTTAAATTAATTTTTTACAACAAAAAATGTATTTTGGATATAAAACAAAATAATAATATAAATAATGTTGATAAGTGTTATGACAATGTAAATAAAAAAAAAAAAAATTGTTTTTAAAAATTAAAAAATAAATGAATTAATTAGAAATCAAAACGAGACTTAATTTTCACTCCATTGTTTTTTATATCTTTTTGTTGATTAGAAAAAACATGAGGATTTGGATTAGAATCGGGTTTCAAAGTTCTCCAGTTTTGTTTTTCATTAATTTTCACATAAGTGTTATTCTGTGTATGTGATTTTTGCTTCCAGCTTTCTTTTTCTCTAGAGTTCTGATTGAATTGTCTATTGCTTTTACTAGAAGAATCTTTTTTAAAATTGTTTCCAAAAAGATGACTCTTATCTTGCATTAAATTGGATACAAACATTTTATATGGCTCAAATATTTGTAAAACTTCTACAACCCTTTTCTTATGATCTGCTGGCAATTTTGAATCCTTAAGAGCTGCATCAAGTCTTTCTGATAATAGATCTATTAAATTCATTGACTTATGTTTAGGATAAAATTTTAATCTGTGAGTCTAAATTATTATAAATAAAAATTAATATAAATAACATAATAATAATAATAAATCAGTTATTTATGTTACCTGTAGACTATATACACAAGTAACATTTTTAAAACTCAATAAAATTGGAATGTATTTAAGAGCTTGAATAAGATTATTTTTAGTTACAATCAGGTAGGATACAACTTGACTAAGAATTTTTTCGCGGTGGACAGGATGAGTAAATGTTTTTAACATATCTACCATCATTTGTTCTACTGGTGCTGTATTAGGATTCATTAGGTATAGTGTATAAATATAATCAATAGAACAACCAAAGCTTTTAACATCGTAAGCTTTTTTAAGATGAAAATTGGCTTTTTCAATATCCTACAAAAAAATGTAATACAATAATAAATTATTTATTATAGTTTTATTAAAAATGTAATATGGATTTTACATTGATGTAACACCAGAATTATAATCAAATAACATAATCTATATTTTCATTAAATAAATACTTAGATAGGTAACAAAAAGATGAAATTGGTTATTTCGATTTTAATTTCCACATTAGTGTGGTTAATTTGTTCATAGTTTGTTCAACTGCCAAATGTATTATATTATATTTAAACCAATAAGTTACCTTTTTATTAAATAGGTAATAATTCCCAATAGCACCATGCACATAACCATTATTAGTCGATTCTAATTTACTAATTAGTGTTTCCAAAATTTCAGAAATATTGTTACTATAAAAGTCTTTATCGAGAGAAATTTTCGATAAGCTAAGTAGGCAATTTTTCAATAAAAGTAAATCATTTGTACTATTCATAACTTCACTAAAAATGAAATATAAACATAATTTAATTAATTATTTAAACACAAAAAATAACAAGGTAATTGAAAATATAATTATTTAAACCAACTTTAGCAATTGTAATCCTGCATCCAAAATTTCATTTTTAGCATTTATATTTTTTTTCATGTTTTTACTCATTCGATGATATATGTGAATTAAATGTAATTTATGTTGAGGTTTGTCACCAAGTTTAACTGCTCTTTCAGATGCATTAATTTCTTGTTCAGAACATTCAAAATAATTACCACATGTTCTTTGCCAATAAGTTAATACTCTAGCCAATAAAAAATGCCATTCGGGTTCACTGTTATTTAATTCTATAGCTTTAAGCGCACTATTTTTTGCTATGTGTGCATATGGTAAATCATATTCATAAAAGAATAATGTTTGAACACCATACAATCCAGCTTTATTTGCATTATTCATATTAATTGGCATAACAAAATGCTCTAATTTCTATATAAAAGAAAAAAAAATAATAATTTCAGTATTTTAAATGATCAATTATTTTTATATGTTGAAATCCAGTTTATTTTTAATAATTATACCTATGTAAATAAATAAAATAGTAAATAGAATTATAACAAATACTAAGTACAAAATTGAAATGTACTGAATTTCTATATACACATAGTAATTTTGTTTACCTTTATATCCATTGAACACAAATGCCATAAATGACCTTTCATTGAAAATGTGATGTGATTCAAAGCTACTTTGATAGATTTTAAAAATGGATCATTATTTCCGATTGAAGATAAAATATTTTCAATATCATTAATAATTTTCAATGCGTCATCATTATTTCCTTTTGAAATATATTCATAGCATATAACTATGTTATAACCAAATCTGAAATATGTTTTAAATTGATGTAAGCCCCGATGTAAACAATATATAATAATTAACACAATATAAATTGCACAATAACTCATCATCAAATAATAGAAGGTATTTTTACCAAATATATTCCAACAAAAAAAAAAAAAAAAAAAAAAATAACTTTTGTTACATTAAAATGTCTTCTTCTTTACCTTCACTTTTCTCCCAACTATTTGGAGTCAACCACCCTTGTCCAAAATCTCCATTTGTCACTATTTTTTATATCTTCCACACATACACACACCAACAGCCCTCATATCATTCTCAATCATATTTAACCATCTCTTCTTTGGTCTTCCTCTTCCTCTTTTCCTTTCAACATTAATTTTCATATAACTACTCTTACTACTTTTGTTACCTCTTCACTTCATCAGTCTATTTTCTCTCATCATGTCCACTACCACATACCTACAACAATACTACCCCTCACATATTCGTTCCTTATTCTATCTTCTCGAATTATTCCATTTATGTACATCCATATCAAAGTTCCGTCCTTTGGTACAAATGATCCTAAATATTTTAAGTTCTCAACTTCACCTATCACATCACTGCTTATTATCATTGGTCTCTTCATACCTTCAAATTCTTAGTATCTTCCTCCTAAGTTATATTTCATCTATTAATTATCCTTGCGAACAAAATATTTACAAACTTCTATGATTATATTGTGAAACATTAACAATTTTCCAATTTAATGACTATCTGCAATGTTATGTAATTTTTAAAATCATATCTCATAATCAAGACTCAGAACTTAAGGCATTTGCAAATTCGTCTAGAAAGTGCATATTGAAATTCTGATTCGATTCATAGTATTTATATTTCAGATATAAAAATTTTGTTGCATAATTTTGCATATTTTGTTATTTTTTGTATCAATTCACATACTTTGGGTTTAAAAACATTTATATGCATATTTCATAGATTTAAGAACATTTTTAAAAAAAATGTAGTTAAATAATAAAAAAAATTAAGATATATGACAACCAAAATTCTAAGTTTTATATTGTTTAACAAAATAAATAAATTCATCAATGGCTATTATTTATATTGCTCTGGCTCCCAATGCACTTAACAATAATATTATAATCTCTATAGTACTAAGAATTCGTAATAGTGACCACTGCCGGCCTGTATTTATTTTTATACAAATTTACCACTGAATTAATATTTTGTAACTAGACATAAACAAATTGTATAACCATAGGTAATTTGTAAATAATTATGTTTAACCATTAGGTTATCAGCTTATACACAATATTATTTCTGTTTGTCATAATACTACATACATCTGCATGTAAGCAACTTCATTGTATAATATACACTACTCAATAGTCAGTCTATTATTTTTAAGAAATTATTTTTCAATTTTTTACTACATATTATAATGCATATTTTAGTACTTTTTAGCGCATAAAATTCCGAGCGTTGCTCATAATTATGTTATTCATATAACATAAATGTTAAAATGTAAAAAACATTTAATTATTTCTGTACAAATTTTTTTCAAGAAAAATGAATTATAATCAGTTTCCTATCGAGATAACTTATATGCATTTATTTGTAAACAATGTGTCAACGGGTCAGAAAATTTAAGCCTTTGAGATAGAATATTAGAGATTTAATGTAAAACGTTAAGACCTATAAAGGAAGAACTCTCGAATATTGCCTATGATGGTATTATCACAGATTATACAAAATTATATAAATTATATAAGTTAAATGATTATTATTTCATAAAACTTATTATATAATAATTTTAAATTTCTTGCTCACTTTGCCATTTTTATCATTGATTTTATCAACTATCCCAACTGGGAAACTCATTAATAGTATATATTATGTATAAACAAATAACTACTAGACACATTAGGTATCTAATGCAAGACTTTGTTCATTGGCACAACTATGTCTAAGTAATAGCGAAGGGAGAGATGCTGTATCTCTAATATGATTGATAACAAATATAAATGGATTATAATCAGTGGGAACTTTCTCAATCCCCCATAATAATAATAAACGACATACATACAAAAAGTCCAACAGAATAAATTTCAAAATAGCACATTGAAAACGTTTTGAATTATACAAAATTCATGGATTAAGATTCACTTTTCTATCTTTACTACTGTCTTAAGTAAATACTAATGTCATTACCTATTGACAGTATTTAGTCGTTGGCTTTGAAATAGATGTAATTTTTACATATTGCTTAGTTACGGTAATATATTTTATAAAAAATATATTACGGTAACTAAATTTAAAAACAAATTTTAGGGAAACCCTTAGGCGACAATGGGCACCACCTATACGCACAGGGAGTCCAGCGGCAACTTACAGTCTCCATTTAATGTATTCCGGTAGGTTGTGTGGGTCGTATTGGGCCATAGTGATGGATTTCATGTCCATGTTGTCGAACAGCACGTCTTTCCTTAACAAATCATCACGCAAATCATATTTCTTGTGCCACGACACGGGGTTCTCGTATCTTTCCACAAAGTCCATCGCCGGCTCCATTTTAGATGAGACCACACATTTTTTCGAAATATCGTTACAAAGCCTTTGGACGGACATGACGAGCTGATTATCCAGTGACGGCAGACACGTGTAACGACCGACAACGGATCGGCCGAAAACACGGTTGTTTTACAAAAACAATAAATACAATTATAAATTAAATATTAACACGTTAATCATCAAAGACGACCGTCAACAAGAGTGTTAGGTGAACGAATGAAGATGAAATCTCGGTGTACGGTGAAATAAAAATCGAAAAGATAACCGTTGACCACCGGGTAAATCCCATCGTTGCCGCCGCATAGAGTCTATTTTTGGAAACGACATCGTTGTTTTAAATATTTACCGCCGTCTGTATCTGTCAGTGCCGGCCCGACGGTTTTCGGTGCAGAATTTTGCGGGGCACCATATATATTAATATATTAATTGTATATGGAAATCTATGTTTGTTTATGTTATTGTATAACTAAACACGAACGAAAATTATATTTCGAACCGTCGTCGACGATAAACAATTTTACAAGTGCGTGCGCCTACAATACTTCAAAGCCATTCGCAATCGGTACCGTCTTAATTTCCGTCGATAACAACTCATTTCCTGAGAAAACCACACGATCGCATGGTTTGCAATTTGCATTCTGGGCTACACTATTTTTATTTACAGGTAAAGTGATATTTGTAATACATAATTTGTGCCATCACACCACTAGCCGCCCTCTAGAGCCAGCACTGCGCATCGTTAACACAATTAGAAAATATATCATGTTATCCTTAAGGGGAAGGAGGAGTACTAGTATCCAATTGGGTGCTCGTCATTCGATAACGTCGGAATCACAACAACATTCGATTCTACAACAGAACGATCCAAAAAAGAAAATTCACAAGAAGTCAAAATGGGTGACAAATATGAAATCAGTTTTTACCCGGAAAAAAACCCAGTTTCAACTCAATTACCGGAGTACAAATTAATATTGAAATGTAATTTAAGATGTTAAACCGTATCGTACAAATAAATAAAAAAATAAAGTGTTTATCTTTACTTAATTTTCGGGGAACGTAATTGAGAAACGAAATGTGTATTTTTAATTTCTATCCATCAATGTTGACGATGCCGGTAGGCAGTAATACTTAGAAAATCGTTAATTGAATAATAAATAATATACGCAGAAATCTTTCTTTGACCATTCTGTAGAAATTATTATGTTAAATTTAATATATTAAATAAATAAAAAAAATAATATTACACTGTTTTATTTTACTATTTGTTCTTAGGTACATTACTTTTATAGTGTATCATATTATTATTTATATTTCATTTGTTTTCCAGTGCCTAAGATTCCTATAATTATTTAACTGCACATACCAAAATATTTTAAAATAATGGACCTAATAATGTGAATGCTGCATATGAATAATTAGTTATTTTTCATATTTTTTAGTATTTCATTGTATGAAATACATTTTTAAGCTTTCTCTAGTCTTAGCAGTACAGTTTAGTTTATTTATAATAATAATAAAAAAATATTCTTTAAACGTTTACAATATATACATTATTATAGTCTACATTGTTTATTTAGATAGGTAATATATTTTTGAACACTAAAACCAGCATAAAATAGTCAAATTAAAAACATTCAAGTATTTTTTATTCATTTTGACATAATTTTTACATTTAGTGGAGTGTTTAATACACCCAATTACCTTTAACAATATATTGATGGGAAAAATCTTATATTTTCTTTCTGATGTGCATAATTGTTTTGACATCAATTATATTTTGGGTACATAAAATTAGGTGTACACCGGTGCTATTTTATAAATTAAAATAATTTTAAAAAACTGATTGGTTTTATTTTATTTTCACAAACAACCTATCATATTACATACTAATTCACATGGATAAAAACAATATAGGTAAGAAAATTTTACATAAGTAGGTGACAATCTTTAAATAATATTTAGAATTAATAATATAAAATTAATCACTACATAGATTTATGTAAATAAAATCATTTTGGACAATATTTAATAAATTCAAAAATAGCAAAAAGCACTACTCAGATTTAATATAAATACATCTGTAACACTAAAACTTAAACTAAACTATTTACATTAATTTAGTAAGATGGTACCAATTTTAATTACAAAATATTACGTAAATGCTGTTTACCAGGTTCATGTTCAACATACATTTTATAGATTATAATCACAGATGAATAGGGTTTAACGACATTTTAAACTTCTTTTTAAAGTATAAAAACTAATTATTATAATAACAACTAAAAAACCGACCATCACTGATATGTCTGACCAATATTTCCCATCGGTCATACCAATTTCTTTGAATGTTGTTTCAGGGAAACGATAATGGCAATAACCTTCTTCATTTAGACATTCTAAAGGTTCACGACCATAACCATAGATGGATACAACCAGCCCTTCAAGTGCATATTTCATATAGCTGATGTAAGACACGTAGTACAAAACCACAGGCATGTGATTAAATAGTACCAAGAAACCAGCAAAAAGAATACACAAACAAGTAATGATTGAACCAACGAAAACTCCGTTCTGAAATGCAAGTTAAAAACAGGTAAATATAAATTATTTTAGCAATATTATACTTTGATTTACCACTGGTGCCATAGCTGTCCCGAGGATAAGTCCAATACCTTCGGATATTAGAGTCATTAACTGGCATACAACCAAGAACATTAAGAATCTTGTCCATGTTAGCAATTGCGCAGACAAGTAATAAGAAATTGATGTATAAATAAAACAAAATATCATCTGTATAAAATATGTATTATTAAAATTATATAATAAATAGTATTTAATATTTTACTGAATCCTCATAAAGTGAACCCTCTATTTACCTGTAATGGCATGTTTGTGATAAGAAATGCTATAAAATATGTGGACAGTTTGTACCAGTTATTAAATAATTCTTTTCTAAGAATATTTAGTTCAGACGGGACTAATAAATAAACAAAAAACAATAAATTAGCATCTTTGTTAAAAATGAATTAAATTGTACCTACTTACATTTTAAAATAGCTGGCATAATTGATGTATAGCTCAAATAGACAAGAGTTACAATACAAAATCCAATATTATTGAAAGTTTTGCCACCATCAATACCAGCGTTTTCGAACAAAAGTCCCAGTAATATACCTACGAGGAAATGCATACATATTTTTACATGTGTAACCGACTGAAAAAAAAAAATAAAAATAATCTTATAATTGTATGGCATTTATTTTTAGTTAAATAAAATGATAAAAATAATTTATTATAAGTTTGATTATAATTGATTAAACCAAATCAATGCCTTATTGAAAATTGATAAGGAAAATTAAGTTTATTATATTATGCTTAAAAAGTTAAGATAAAAGTTTGGGAAGTGTCAATATGCTCATAGGCGTGTGCAGACCTCTTTTTCAGAGTATGCAAAAGGTTGCCACTGCCTATCCCTGCCATCACTGAAAGTTAATTTAAGCGTTCAAAACGCTGGTAAAAATATTTACACAAATGTCTAAAAAAACCGTTAAAATTAAAATTTTTATTTTTTCTAAAAAAAGTGACTAAATAGTAATTTATTAATTGTTATAACTATCTTCATAATTTATAAATAAAATTTAAAATAAATTATGAAAGAAAAAATTAAATACCCAATACTTGCAATAGTTTGAGTAATATATTTAAACAGGGTAAATAAACAAAAACATAATCATTTAAATGAAAAAATAAAATACATTTGATAAATAATTATAATTGATTATAAAACAATTCTGTGTTCAATTGAGTGTTTAATATCACCAATAATGTCTTCAGGATTTTAATTTAAAGTTCTTTCTTGCTCTATATTTGAATGGTAATTAATCACTCTTGAAGCATAGTACTTCTTAATTTCATTAACACATTAAATCCTTACTATAGTATAAATTGTGAGTTTCTAAATAAGTAAAATGTCTAGGACTGAATATAAAAATATAATAAAAATCATAATGTAATATAAAATCACATAATATACATTTTAAGACCAAATACGTTAAGATTTTTATTTATTTTATGCATTTTTAGAAAAAAAGGCTCCATGTTTAAGGTATGCAGCTGCATACCCCCTGCGCACGCTTATGGATATTCTGTACTGCTAGCTATAGTACCTAGTCTCATAGTTTCTACCAACTACCTATTTTAATATTTTATTATATAAATAAAACTTGGCACAATTGACTAATTTTTAAAATCTAAAGGAATAAGAGTACAAAAATTATTAACTATTGACAAAACAAATTTACAAAATGTGCTCTGGCTGAACAATTTTTAACATAATTAGCCGGGATTCCGAGACATACGACGAGAATATGACGTTCTGTTGATACGTATCTACTCGTAGTTTATGAATTAATATTTCATTATTTTCATCAATTTTACGATAGTCAATACATACTTTAATACTAATTACCTTTAACCACTAACCTACCTATTTAAACCACATCAAAGATCACCTATTACGATAAAATGTATATATTATTCAGTATTCAGAAGGTATTTAGATTAATTTTTTTTTTTAACACAGACGGCATTAAAATAAGTCATAATCAGTGTTCAGTATTTCGTTATCAGATCAAATACTCATCGTCTGTCGAAATCAGTTTTCACTAATTTTCATTAACTAATGAGTCAAAAATCTTATGGAAGAATAAAAATTGAGTAAACGAACTAACTCACCGCCATAAAATGTGATTAATTGTATTACGAATGAGTAAAAAAAACAATTGAAAATTGGTTTACTTTATTCTACCATTGAATATTTTAAATATGGTATTATATCATATGCAATTTAATTATAATTCCATCGCAAATAAATAAGTAATTCAATATAGTAATTTGAAGTAAAATTTTTAAAACCAATTTAAATAGGTAAAATAATCGGTGCACCGTAACTGCTAACTAACATGCATCGTGGCCATTTTGTAATATATCACCTAAACTCTCCATACAAGATTTTTTCTACACCTTAAATCCGCACATAATTTTTGTATATATTTTTGTACATCAATAAAAAAAAAAAACAATCAAAATTCTATCAATTGGCCATCGTTATATAATTCTATGTTTTTATTTTTAGTAACAACTAAAATCTAATAAACTAAAAAAATTATAATAATAAAGACAATTTACAATAAACATTATCGTCGTTTATATAAAATAAAATTTAATAAAATTATAATGTAAATAAAAACTAAATATTATTAAATAGTGCCAAACTTTTTACAAAATTATATCTATCAATTTGACCGCATCGTTATATAATTCTATGTTTTTATTTATAAATTCCATATTGGTTTTTTTGTTTAGTCCTAATTATCCTACTTTCATTATTATTAGCAGAATTAATTCGTATGTAAGAATCCGTCTGCATAGCTAATAAGTTTTTAATGAAAACTGCAATATTTGGATGTGCTAAAGTAAATAAATTACCATATTTGGTGTGAAGACTCACAATTTTATGTCATGCGGATTTTCGGTGTTAAAAATATTTTTAGAATGTGGAGCTACGGTACTTTAATTTTTTTGACCATGCGGAATTACGGTGCATGCGGAGTTGCGGAGTTGCGGATTTACAAAATAATTTTATTTGAGCGGATCTACAGTGCGTCGAAAATAATATTTCTTAAAAGTAGAGTCATAGTTAAATTAATAATCAAAAACTTATTTAGAAAATTTGAATAAATTAAAAATATTCGTTTTCTATTTTTCATTTGTATTTTGTATGATAAATTGATATTTGAATTTAATACAGATAATGAATCCTAACTATTTTTCGGTATTACCATGCCATAGTACAACAGCGTTCCTTGTATTAATTTGTTTCCTCAATTTGTACAATTTTCGTTCATAAAACTAGGATTTTTTATATTACGTGTATAATATTCGAAAAATTAAAAATAAATTGTAATGTAATGGTTAGATATTAAACTAAAGAAAAACATTAAACAACTAATTGAACGACTGAATCAAAAATAAAATATTTAAATATTATTAATATTGTTCATACATTTTTAGTAAAGCTCAATTCAATTGAAATATACAACTAATAATATTTTAAACGAATAATTAACGTATTTTCATAAATAAATTATACAAATTAGATTTACTTTAACTATTTATTAACTATTCGTTTTAATTTAATTAAAGGCATTACTTCGCTTTAATTAAGACAATCAAGTATATTACATGTTGATTTAATTCATCACAAATTTACTAACCCAATCTCTGTAGACCTGCATTAAAGATCTGTGTATAAGTACTAATAATTTATTAAATTCGGAGGGCTGATTAACCAAGACCAATGAAGTTGGACCTGGATTCTTAGATTTTCTTTTTAATAATATATCTGGAAATTAAAAATAAATAAAAAATAATTTATATATTTTTATACATATTTAATAATTATAAGTAACGCAACAAAAAAAAAGGTTTTATTTATTAATATAATAATTGTTATATTAGTACCCACCTATAGTGTAACGTATAAATTGTATACTCAATAAAAAAAAAATATTTCAAATATAATTACGTGAATTGTCGATTTGAGGTTGTGTCCTCCATGCTTCATCAATAGCTGCTGTTCTGAGTTGAGAAGTAAAGTTTCCGTATTCTCCAGTAACTACTTCCATTACTAACATAACATGTATATTAATATAAATAATAAATTTATAAAATGTAATGGCAGATATTAGGAATAGAAAGTGTAAAGATTGAAAGAAAAGTTAGAAATACCGAATTTATTATTAATATTATATCCCACATGAAGTTACTATAGGAGTTTTAAGAAATATAAAAAATATTGATATTTTTAAGTTATCGTTATGTGTATCATAAGTTTTATAGTAATATTATAAAACATTTAGGAACAAAAGAAATCAAATTAGTTTTGATCGTTTTTAATAAATATTTAAGATAAATTATTTATTTTGTATGGTAGTTTTTTTTTTAGTAATTTATAAATGAAAAAAAAAATGCTGTACAATAAAATATTACTAACGATACACTGTTAATGTTTTGTCCACATACATCTATATTTCATTTTGAGTTATAAAATATTTAGTGTACTAAGGTTTTAGATAAATAATCTAAAATTTCAAGGTTATTTAATCGATATTCCGATATTCATCTTAAAATTTGATAATAAATAATATAAACTTAATATATATATATATATATATATATATATATATATATTTAGAATCCAAGATGTAAATTGTATTAAATACAAGTATGAATTATACTTAAGTTACAACAAAATAATATAATTAAGTATTTGTGTATCTTTAAATAGATTATTTATAATCGAATTACAATAAATGTAATACATTATAAAAAAATATCTACTACAGTAAAATTCTAAGATACATATAAGTGTATATATACATATAGATACACCTAGTTGCTATCTATGATTAAATGTTAAAAATCTATATTATTTTATAAAAAAAAATCTGAAAATTTAATATTTGTACATTATAAAATATGAATAGACTGAAATATTCGTAAAAATCTGTTATTAGTTGTTTCCTTGTTAGTTTTTCTTCGATTTTTACTACAAAATTTTGTATAAATTAATAAACTGTCAAATGATTTTCTGGAAATACTTCCTATCTATATATTTATAAGAACGGCAATAAAAAAAAAAAAAAAAACTTGAACAACTATGCATAATACCATTATCACTCTTAGAGTAAGTGTATAGATATGTAAGGAAGGAGGAATAAACAAGACGTTTAAGGATAACGCAAGGCCATCAGGAAACTCGGGTGTGTACTTTTCTTCCAACAAAAATAAAATAATAATAATAAAATACTTTTACAACTAAATGTAAATATATATTTATGAGTGAATATACCAGTGGTTCTCAACCTTTTTTTTTGTTAATGTTCAACTTTAGAAGCAAAATATTTTTTAGTCCTCAAAAAAAAAAAAAAAAAATGGTTTACTTGAAAATAATATATCAAAGACAATAAGTTTGAAAAAATAACAGATAATTAAATGCATGTCAACCTAGATGATAAGTATTTATTTTATTGATAAATTGATAAAACAATATGGTTTGATAACAGTTACAGATCATAGTGTGGGTTCAACATACCTTATTTATGTACTTGAGTTTTTATTTTTCTTCAGTTTTATGTCTTAATGTGATTATATTTAATATGCTCAACATGACCACGTTTTAAGACTAAATCAATGTTCCCCAACCACCAAAAATAAGTTCAACTCCCTTCAGAACCTTTTCATCGCCTACCATCTACGTTGAGAGCCATTGGTATAAACCGTGTCCATATATTGTACATATAAATCTAATTAGGTATACTAATGGATACAAAGTAAATAATATGTCATTTATTAACTATGCGTTTTAATGAAAATGTCAATATTAAAGCACGGAGACCACTTAAGCTACCAAATAACTTTGAAAATATCGCCATAATTGTCGCATGTTATTAAGTACTATGTACAAGTAACTTACGGTCAACAACATTTTTTTCAATCATCGGCACAGCTCAAGTGGACCAGTTAGAAGAAAAGTGCGCAAGATGATTGGTGGTGGTGGAAGCGGTGAGTAAACGAACAACAGCCTTGACTGATGACAATGGGGAAGCAAATTGAAGAGAAGTATACTTACTGAAATCTGCCGGGTTGTGGTATTGTGGACAGTTAAGGCCTATTGTTTGCAAATATGGTATTGTGTTCTGACTAGAACCTTGATAGACACAGTACCCCTCGGCCATAATATAAACGTGGTCAAACATTTCATAAGTACTAGCGCTGGGTTGATGAATCGTGCAAACTACCGTCCGGCCGCCTTTGGCCAAACCTTTTAAAATCGAAACACACTGATGCGAACTCGTACTATCCAAACCACTACAAAATAATAGCGGTTAAAATAGTATTGATTAAAAGAATACATTTTAAACATCACGAGTTGCAGATTAAACGTATTCATGCGATTTAAAAATAATTTTACAAGTAAATACTGATCAATTTACACGAATTAAGGATGACGAACGTAGTACACCCACAAAACAGGTGCTGAAGTAATATTTAAGAAGTCTATAAAAAGTTTTTAAACAGTTTTACTAATTCAAATTGTATTATCATTATACTATTTCCAGGACTATATTAAGTATTAATAGCAATGATGTTTTTTAAGCGAAGATTCGAAATTAATCCATGTGAATGTAAATTAAACAGATAGAATTCAAATTATAATATATACTATTATAGTAACTTACATCTTATGTGAAAACATATAGAAATATACAAATATTATGAAAAATCGAATATTAATTTCGTATATAGCATATGCGTAATACATAAAATTTAAAATAAAAATGTTAACGCTTGTAGCAAAGCAAGGTAAGAATTATTTCAAGATACGTCATGATTATTAAAATAAAATACTCAACCTAACTATAATAATTTTAGGATTTCGCTATGTCACTTATTTTATGTACACATTAATGATTAAGGAGTATAATCATAATATATGGGTAGTTAAGTGTTTACTGTGAATACTTTATATAACTATTTATAATCGCTTGTCATTATTAAATAATTTTTAAAAAAACAATTATACTTAAGAAACAATCTAAAAATACAAAGTTCGTAAAAATTAGAACAATGGTTAGATGACAAATTATTAAAGAAAAACCAACTGTTATTATTAGGTAGTATATTTATTATTGTATACGGGAACAATAATTAATTATTACACCATAAATTATAGGAATTGTATTGAAACGCAAAGTTAAAATATTAAAAAAAAGCTTACGTGGTGGGTTCATCGAGAAACATAATCGGTGGATTGTCAATAAGTTCGAGAGCAATGGACAAACGTTTCTTCTGTCCGCCTGATAGTCTACCGCACCTGGTGTGAAGGCTGCCCGAGAGTCCGATGCTGTCGAGGATGTCCTCGATCTAATCAAAAACAAGTAGAACAATGTCAGTTTAAATACGTGATTATAATTATTTAATTTTTTTTTTTACATATGGGAGAATAATATTAATGTGTACGTGGACGCTTGCAAGGGGAGCAGGAAATTAAATAATGTATTTAAGTATTGTTGTTTTTAATGACGTAAACATATTTTGTGACTGATGTGAAAAATAAAAATTCATTGTTCCTAACTAAAAATCATAAGAGCAGCTGAAAATCATTAAAATAGTACCTATAGGTATACTCTTAATTATTCGAAGGATGTCATGTCATAACTAATTGTATGATAAATTACATGGCCTTGGAGACAAATTAATTATATTGCAATTTGAATTTCGGGAGGCCATAAAGACTATATTTTTCTGTAGATACTTATACACAAATATAAAACAATATGCTTACAGAGAGAAAATTAAGGATTTATAATAGAAAAAAAAAACCTTAACCATAATAACATATTTTAATAATATTATTATTGAGATTTTGTACTTCAATAATTGTATTTTATATGTATGATGGTCAGTTATATCACAAAATATATAGATACATATATATATATTCTATGGTCATATTATTGACGTTACTAATTAACAATCATAAGGAAAATTACTTATTTCAGCGTTAAATACCAACTATTTAAAAAAATTTAATTATTTCCTAATTTACTTGTATGTTTTTAAAATACACTTTATATTTACGCAATTAATTCTTTTTTTGTGTTCGTTAATTGTATGTGAATTATCTATAAAGTCTATTAAAACATTTGATTAGACAATTAGTAATTCATAATTTTTAAAAAATGTTAAAACGGTTATAATTTTACGAGGTAGAATTCTATTTAGACGAAAAGTTTTTATTATTATCACTTTATCCATTAGTTTTTTTGCAATGATAATAATTTTAAATTAGAAATGTCGAATACACGGAGGATATAAGAATTTATTTTTCATAAAACCATATTGATTATAAACTTTTGTTTAACTCCAATAAATAAATGGTTTAAAATTAAATAGGTCTATAGATGTACAGTTATTTTGTATTAGAATGTGACATGTGGAAGACAAGTTTTGTTTTATAAAATAAGGAATATTTAACTAATTTAAATTTTAAATACCTATTTAAAATAAATCAATTGCAAAATTTCTGAAACATTGAGTAATTGATGTTAAAAATATCATCTTGTATTAATAAAAATTAAGCCATTGTACAGAGATTTAAGTTTTGTGTATAATATGTTGTATTTAAAAAAAAAAAAATAATTTTAAAAGTATAATTAAATTAATGCCTACGTGTATAGTTATTCATATCAATCATCATAAAAGTAATTATTAAATTAATTTGTGCGCGACATGTGAAAACTTTAAACATTCAGTATAGGTATGCTAAAAATTAATAATTGTTCTATGTGTTATGAAATCATTACTTTTATAACGAAGGAACATACAATTAATTAATTTTTTCACTATTTTTTAACTAAGTGATAATTTATCCGAAAAAACACAATGGAATGTATATTATGAATGCATATTATTTTTAAACACAAAATTGACATTATGCATTAGAAAAAAAAAATTACCTTTATAATGTTACAAGTCATACATTGCAAGACACATTAAAGGAACTATTATGTAAATTACATATAATATAAATTAAAAAAGAAAATATGACTTATTTAATCTGCATACTTATTACCTATTCAAAACAATGTTAGAATTCATTTTCACAATATCAGTAAATTGAATTTAACGCATAATTATACTACACAATTTTTTTTAGGCGAGTTCAATGATATTTAAAAATTGAAGAATACTGAGAAAAGGACTTAGAGGATTTTGACGTATATAGGTTTTAAAGCGTGTTTTAATAAGTTTATGCATAGGAAATCAACATTCTTAGGCAACAAAAATCTATATCTGAATTAGTAATAAGTACATATAAGAAAGTAAAAATAAGAAACAGACGACAAACAAATTGGGCTTAGGTATATAGGTACTTCTAATTTTTAAAATGACAAGCTGAAACAAAAACTTTAATTTATAAATAAATTATTGTATTCAGGTATATTTCCAATTTTATTCAATTGGAATGATTCATTATTTAATTTAAAACGTATATTTTAATCCTTGCTGTTCTATACAAAACAAACTTGTTCAGATATGCATAAATACCGACATTATATTTATTGAACTGAAAATAATTATTTAGATCTGAAAGAGAGTGGACAAGATCTTGAACTTAAAAGAAATATTATACAAAACATTTAGGTTCATGGCTTGTGTGTTTAGTACAATTTTAATTATGTAAATGTACATTTGTTTGGATCCTCAAACATTTTCACAGATGTAAATTTAAATTTGAATAACAAATATAATTCAAATTAGTTGGTCATAATAATTATTTCATACAGGTTCCTATATAATAGTTCCTGTACATTAAGTAAAATAAATATTTATACTACATTATAGTTTTAATTATATACAGTATCATTATTTATAAATACCATTTTGCAAAAATTCCAGAGAGTGGTAAAGCAATATTAGATAATTGTAATTTTAAATCAGGTACTTTAATAAATTATTGATAATCCTATGAAATAAGTAATAATAAACGTATAGAATAGCTGTTAAATGTTGAATGAGTGAAATTTCTAATTTCTAAAAAAAACGTCTGTGCAGTAAAATATTAATGAAATGAAGGAAGTTTAATAAATATAATATAAATTAATAATTCTTAGATAACTTTTACTCTTTAACAGAAAATGACTAAATATATTTTACTAAAATATAAAAATATGGAACAATAGTTAAAATTGAAAAAAAAATTTTTTTACTTACTACTAGTACTTTCGATTTATAGGATAGTGTGTATCCAAGTTTAAGATCAGCTGCCATCATCATAATTTCTAAAACAGTAAAAAGTGGACACAGCTGGTCATCTTGCATTATGTAACAGGATTCTTTTCGGCACATAGTGCGACCCTGGTTAATTTTTTTTCTTAGATCATTATTTAAAAGTAGATCTTCATGATCATCAACTCGGTTTGTTCTCACTTCTCCAACCATTCCTTTGCGTCTAAATGTTTCAAATTGCGATAAATATTTTGTATTACAATAATAATATAGAAAACAATTTTTTTTTTTTTAATATATCTATTAATATATAATGTTCATTATAATAGTTTTGTTTAAATGCATGTAAAAAAGTATAATCTTATAAACAAAAAAAAAAAGTAAAATATGCAGATAACTAAACAATAATAAATTTATAATTATTTAGTTTTATATATCAACTAGCAAAAATGTCTTTAGTTAATTGTTTAGACATAACTAGTACCTAAATGTCAAAACGCTTTAAAAATTAGATAGTACAAATAAAATGATACAGGTGAATACACAAAAAAAAATGTTGGGAGGGATTTTAGGTTGTATACTTTCAACTTATATAATCTATAAACCACTTTTACTCTATAAAAACATATCGAATAATTTTCCTACATTTCGGGGGAGGGGAGATTAAACCCCTAACCTCTACCCCTTATGTAGGTGCCTGAGATGATAACTTATTGTTTCATTTACTGTAATATTATAGTTTATATTTTATATCTATAATGCAATTTAAAAATCAAAAAATTATTTATTTTTCGCAATAAAAACAAATTGCAACTTAAAAATCTTAAGTAACAAAATTATTTTTAAAAATATTTTATTTTTTATGTCTAGGTGGGTCAAAAACTTTATAATGCACTTGCTTTTAAGTAAATAAAAAATAAACAAGATCACCAAAAATAATTCATTCAATATCTAGATATGATGTACTTGCTATTGAAATAAATATTTGTGTGATGTGGGTCATCCGTTCAAATGGTATGTGTTAGAAGGTCATATATTGCGTACAAAGATTATTGTGTTATGATATAATATATGTCTTAATTTTAAATACAATAAATAAGTTGCAAACATAATTATGAAGTCAAAATTAATAAATTTAAATTGTAACTAATCATTTTAAACAAATTTTAACATGATTAAATTGTATTTTTATGGTTTGAATTATGTTAAAAGTGACTATCACAGTAGTTCATTAGTATAATATTAAATGGAACGTCTAAGATGCTAATATATTTAATGCATACATTTATTTTTATTGTGAGAAATGAGCATTGTAGATTTTTGTTTATACGGAGCTAGAAATTGTTAAACACTAATACACACATAGTTCATCAAAATTATTGTGCAATTAATATGTAATTATTGTAGCAACATAGGAGGATAATCAATTTATATAAATATCCAAAAATTTTTTTACTATGAACAAAATTAAGAATTGAGTAAGCTTAGATTTGTGGGAAAGGGTTGAATCTCAAAGCTAGGCACCTTTTAGGTATACCTTAGGTCAGTGGCAGCTTGATACCATTGTATATTTGAAGCACGTGATTCATAAAAATAATGGGTGGGTGGGTTCATTTATATATTCAAAAATGTTATATATGCAAAAATAAGCAAAATAAGTTTGCATATTTGCAATCGAAATTTCATGAATCGAATTTATATCATATTAGAGTATAATTCTGATTGCGCGAAAAATATGCCAAGTCATTAACATCTGAGCTCTAATTATTACATTTAAGAGTGGAAAATTATGTTTATTTCTTTAATGGTTTTATTTTTAGAATCCTGAATAAAATCATAATGTATATGTAATTTTTTTGGAGCGAGAAAAAATATTGGGTTGGTAGTGTGGACATTTAACATATGATTCAAACAAAAAAAAAATTCAAATCTCCACTGTCATAGTTAAAAAGTAATATAATTAACAAAGTATATACAAAGATACACCAAAAATGTTCCTGTTTGGATATTGAGTTATATTTTGATTTAAGATTGAATTTGGACAATATTTAATTTAAGTGTTTGTTAATAATAACTATAATACTTTTATTAATCCAATAAATATGATTGAAGATAATATAGATAATAAAATATGAATATAAAAGTACTATATTATATTATAGTATTGTATATAACTTGAGAATCTAAAGATAATATTTTTTAGTATTTAATATACAAGAAATATTAATGATATCAGAAAAATCAGTGGACAGTTTTAAATTTTTAATTCATAATAAATAAATTAAAAATTGTTTTTCCAATAACATATTATTCAATAGAATAAATCGTTATTTGAAAATGATTTGATCTTTTAGTATTCTAACAAATCTTAAAATATTTATTTATTTATTTTTTTAATTTGCCTTTGTTCGCACATTACAGTAACTAAATATTTTTAAGAGGCAATAAAAAATATATAAGTACTTACAACACATTTTCTATTATAAATGATTTGATGTTATTTTAATTTGATTGAATTATAACTGATAATTGTAAATATATAAGGTAGAGTAAAATTAGATAGAGATACAAAAAATTTTTGTTTATTAATATAAGAAAAAGTGAATTAAAAAACGTAATTTTAAAATTGATTAAGTCGAGCAGGAGAGCAATTTGTATGGCCTAGAATTACTAATCTAAGAATAATATAATTGTACATATGGTTTGATATAGAATATATACATATATATAAGTACATTTGAAGTTCATATTACTTTAACTACAATATATAATTATACTAAATTATAATTCTTTAAACAATTTATACATTAATGAATATAAAAGTTGAATATAAATACTATATAATATGAGTACAAGAATTATAAATTATTAGTTATTAGTGAACATTATCATAAATATTTCTAATTAATTAATTTATATATATATATATATATATATATATATATACTCGTATATAATATAATTATTTCTATGTTTCTACTTAAAATGATAATATTATTAAAAAAAAAAAGAAGGCATTTACAATAATTATAAGATTTTTATTTACGACTATGATTTTTTTTACATGTTCTGTCCACCTCTAATTTGTGATATACTAAAAAAATTAATTTGCTTTACAAGCAAGCAAGACCATTTGCATTTACCAACAATTTTCTTTGAAAATTTATTATAAATTAGATATAAACAATTAGATTTTAGTAACAAAATAAATAAAAAGTAATAGTTTTTTGTGTATTCAGTGCAAAATGTTGAACCAATTACCCGAACCTAGTATGGAATAAAAATAACAAAGCACTAGTATACATAAGGTCATAATCAATAAACATAATGGAAAAAGACCAAGGGCCAAACACCGTCGATTTAATAAATTAAACAAAAATTTGAAAAACCTAGGAACGACAAGAATTGAAGTTTTCGATGATCGGGGAGTTTTGAGAGAACTTGTGGAAGCGACAAAAAGCTTCAATGGCTTGTAAACATAGAAAAAAAAAAGATTTTTTGCGTAGAAACTAATTCAACATAAAAATAAATTCTTCCATTATATATTTTAAATGATGAATATAAAATTAAAAGAATTTACTTGGTATATTATAATTTATATTAACTATATCGTAAATTGGGAAACGTGAAATAAAGAATAATAATAAAAATTTTAGTTTATGAAACGGTATATCAATATTATATGGTATTTAAATTGTTTTGTTGGAATACATAGTAATAAATACTTTAATACAGTACACATTTCTATCATTTTTCTATTACGAGTATGTTTTTGTACATGAATTCAACGCTGTCATTATATTTTGCGGTTATAATATTTCGGGTCAATACCATATATAAGTAAATAAAATACAAGGACACTTTAAGGTTTCATTCAAATAACTTCTAAATTATAATAGATAATATATAGTATCTATTTATGAATACTAGAGTGGCATATATTTTTCGTGGAGATTTTACGAAATCATAATAATAGTAGACAAACATACTGTAATAACAGTATATTGTACACTATCAATTTCAACAAATATCAAATTAAAATAAGATAAAAAATGAATTTTTACTGGCAAAATAATAATTAAACTAATTTTATAACGGTAATTTTTAATTGAGTCAGTAATTTTATAAAAATAAAATATAACACGTGAATTGGCTATTTCATCGTTCATTTTATAGTTATTGATTATAATATTATTAAGTAATTTACCTTGAATATAAAAAGTGTCTATTATAAAAATAAAAATTGTAAAATATTATATCAAAACAAAATGTATTTCAAAGGAAATTAATAAATGATACACAAATAATTAATAAAAATACTCATGCTGTCGAAATAAAATAATGCTTTAATGTAAAATAAGTTGATCGAATACAGGTTTTGAGTTAGATATGAGATTTGTTTAGGGTGTTGAGGACACCATAACCTCGACGACCTTTAATTTGAAAGTAATGGTTCAACTTGAACTCAACATTTAAAAAGAAAAAAAAAAAACATAATTTATTATGTTAATAAAATAAATAACTACCCATATATTTCACAAAAAATTGTTATTGTTTTAGTAAATATTAAGAAACTTTTAAATATATTCAAGTAGACACACAGAATACATTTTTAAAATTCAACGAAAAGCATTAATACATACATCTTATTGTAACAAAATATAATTTTTTTTTCAATATTTATAAAAAATAACATGCATGCATAATACATACAATGGTATTATGATATAATATATTATGCTAGTATCTTAAATGTAGTATATATCTAAAGTTCATTAAAAACAAGTAATTATAGATGTACGTCATGAATATTTTGAAATCTCCGAGCGAATAGCTTTGGTTTTGTTTATTACAAACATTTTGAAATTTATTACGGAAAAGTTTTTCAAAAACTGACAAAAAAATCATATGCATACAAAAGTTATATTACCATTTATAATTCTTTTATATTTTTTGATCCAAAAATCAAGGTAGTATAATTTCTTAAAAAGTTTTAAATAATTAAATTTAAATAAAAGAGTATAATACTTACTGAAATCCAGTAAGAATATTGAGAAGAGTAGATTTTCCGGCACCAGAAGGGCCCATGATAACAGTCAATTCGCCCGAGTTGAAGCGTCCAGAAACGCCTTTAAGTACTTGTTTTTTTTTTAAAATAAATTAAATAAATATTTAATCAACAATGCAATTTTATTTTAAAAATAAACATTTTATGCATTCAAAATGTAGTTATTGTAAAAAATAAAACACAAATAGTATAACTTACAAGTAAAATTACATTACATTTTCAAATCACAAAATCAAAATTATTTATCTTACTAAATTTAAATAATCTGGTGGTTGAATTTGTGTTAGTATCTGATTTATATTTAGTTTTTCGTTAAAATCAAAAAAAATTAAAAAAATTTTTTAATCTAATAAAATACTAATAAATGCCACTTTTGATTTGAGTAATATTCGAAATATTACTATCTAATTATTACTATCCGAAAAAAATGTAAACAGGAAGAACCTTAATTAAGTAAAAAACCTTACTGTAAAATTAACTTGAACCAGAATCTATAAAATATTTATACATTCATGAAATATGTATATAAAATAATTAAATAAAAAAATCTAAGTATATTAATATATATATATATATATATTACACATTAAAATATAAATTTAGGACAAGAGTGACTGACCCTAAATTGTTGGAGGAAAGGCGAAGGAGAAGAAGAAATAATATTCAATACTATACTCCTTAGTAAACCATTATAAGAATTCCATTCCTTGTCTGCCTTATGTACTTGGACCACAATATAATTGTACATTATACTTCTAATAAAATAGGGAGTATTAAATATGATTTATATATCACTACTCGTCAGGTAAAGGTTTTATAAAACTGAGATAGTGGTTTACACGATAAGAAATCACTTACAATATGTAAAATAATAACAATATCTCATCAATAAAAATAAACTAACATTTTAATACTAAAACCAATAATTATTAAAAGTCAGTCAAATATATTAATTTATGGTTTCGAACTCCTATTATCCTAGTATATAGCATAAAAACTCTATTGTTCTGATATCCATATACTACGACTAGATTATTCATCATGTCTATCATGTATTTTTATTTATTATGTATTTAAAATAATTATTAATTTTAAGGTTGACAAGATTCTTAAAAATCTATAAAGAACTTGTTTTTACAAACATATTTTCTTTGTGGGTCACAAACTAGGTTATTATATTTTAGAATTAATTCTTGTGGTAAATAGGTACTTTAATTACAACGGGTTTCATTTCGAAATTTAATTTTTTGTAAACCACTATATAAACTCAGTAATAGCTATATTAAAACTAATATTTACATACAATGTTAAGCTACGTGTACACTGATTGTGGCAGTTGAATATTGCTAGTCTAATATTTAGGTTAAACTGGATGGCCATGTACTACTAATTTTAGATGTCTTCACTGACTAGACTATACTTATTACTTTTTTTACTATACCTATGATAATATTAATCAGGTTTTTTATACATCAAAATATACCTGTTTACTATTGTTTCATTAAACTATTAAGAAAACTATCATATTAAGTGAAATTACTATTGTTATTCAAAATATAAAGTTAAACAAAAAACTTAAGTCAAAAACTTAAATTATCTTATATTATTCGTATATTTCAAATTTACATATTTAATTTCAATTATTTTTAAATAATGATGATACAGATTTTTTAGCTAAAATAGAAGATTAATTTTCTCTAATTAATATTTATTTAATGTTTTAAACAACAAAATAATACGTCGTAATTACACGTGTGAATACTACAAATATCTTTCTGCAATATAGTTGTTACGGAAATACACGTATTGGACTTGTATACAACTAAACATAACCGGAAGGAAACTGAAGTCAATATTAATCCGTTTTCTCTTTTAACAGACGACAAAAACCAATAGCTAGTTCGTCACAGTACATAATATAGTTTATATTTTGAATAAAAAATAGGTATGACGAATTTAACTGTTCATTTTTAATCAATGTAGATATAATACTATACACATAAATAGGTTCAATACATGTTTAAAAGTGTAATATTTGATTATGCAAATTAATTCGTATTCATATAAAAATAATAATTATTTTGGATAAGTGTATAATATATCTATGTAACTTCACTGTAAGGGGATAAAAATAACTTTCAGTTCATTTATAATGTAAAATATAAAACATTACACCACTCAATACGCCTCCACCAAAAACGACATGAAAAATATTATATTATTCATAATTTAGATTTGTAACAATTACTAATACGAACAGATGTTAAAATATGTTTACAACATTGTTAAATAATTTGATATTAAATTAACTACAGTAAAATATTTGGGAGATCATTATGAATTTTAATTCATAAGTAATTGCACATAAAAACTTGCTCGTAGACTGGCAACTTAACAATAATGATTGATATTAAATTTATAAATAATATTATAACTATCAGCAATATTTCACTAAATATTTTTTTTTTTTTAATGGGTTAAAAAAAAAAAAGGAAGAACGAACAATCACTGTGTCGACACGGACTAAACGCAACTAAACAACAGTAAGTACAATTGAACGAAATGGTCATTACAAAACACTAAGTGAAATTACTGCGAAATGCGAAACGCGAAACATGCATAGTGTATTTAAATATCAATGAAACACTACGAATAGTAAAACACGAAACACGCATACCATGGAATAACCTTTACGTTAAAATATACAAATAGACATTTAATAATAACAATAACATGAGTTCTGAAAATAGGGTTCAGTTCTAATACCTACTGATAGTTAATTCTGATAATTTTTTCAAGTCGTTAATTGAAATTTTTTTTATAATTAGTAAATATTCAAATTTAAGTGTTATGGATAAAATATTAACTATGATCAATCACTCAAAAACGTTACTTTATTCTAACGCAGGCTGTAAATTATACCTTAAACCAGTGGTCGGCAACCGGCAGCCTCCTGGCCAGATTCGGCCAGCGCGCCTATTTAATACAGCAACATTAAATTCCAAAACAAGGAATTGAATATCATATAATTGTTTGCATTGTCTGACCCGTGAACCCTTTTTAATTTATGAATATGGCCCAAGATACCAAAAAGGTTGCCGATCACTGTCTTAACAATTAAATTAATTATTCTTTTAGCCGATTGGAGCTGTACCATTAACCAAATATTATTCAGTAGGTCAATGCTAATCAAGGTTATGATTTTTTATGTAACTACTGGATACGTACTATAATGTATCATTATTTACCTCTTCGCAGCGCCCCAATTTCTACAGTGAACTGGACGTCTGTAAATGAGATGTCGATCGGATTATTTTTGGGAAGGTGCATGAGCACCATTCGAGAAGCGGATCCCATTTTAAATAGGTTTACAGTCAACTAATTTCTATATTGGATTGGTTTTGTAAGATAGTTTCTGCTGTTTAACGATGTTTCATATAAACAAGTACGTATTACTCATCATAAGATTGTGTCACAAGTGTCTATGTTTCAATGATGCTCGATCATCAATGATTTTCAGCAAAGCTATAAAATAGCTACGACACAATTGACAACCTGCGAACAAAAAAAATACACTGGGTTAAATTTAATTAATATATAGATAGAACATTTTGATTTCCAAAAATTAGGGCAATCAATTGTTTTTAAAATAATTTTGATTTACTTATTAAGTGTAAAAATAAATTCCGATAAAATTATAAATTACTTGCGAAATTGCAATGCATTTATTATGACTACAAAGTATATTCTACAGTCCATTTTCACAAAAAGTTATTTTCAGTTTCAAAAAGATATACATCGAGAAGTAAGTAAACGATAAAGGTTATAAAGACATGAACGTCTAAACAGATTACTTTAATCAAGAATTTCTAGGATTGCTATTTAATTTAAAATATGTGAAACATATTGCTACCTAGTTGAATTCATTGTTATTTCAATTGTCAACGTGTATAAGTGGAATAATGAAAGTTGTAATCAAATAATATATACAGATTTGATTTGATAGATATATTAATTTATATTTACATTAAGTTGCCTTAAAGTTATTTTTCATTCAAAAAAATGGAATGTGCAAGGAATGAAAGTTCATAATTATAATATACAATAAAAATAAATTTTTTTTTCATATGCGGCCGTTTAAAAATTACAAGTTACAAGTTACGAAATAAATCTAGTCATCGTGAACGTGTTGCAAGCACATACAGATAACGAATCATTTGCATGTCGTTGATGGTGAAATATCCTACGATTATAACTTAACTATGCAGTTAAAAAAAAAAAAAAAGTTTAAGGAAGAGATTATTAGGAAAGCGATTCTTTTTATAAATATTATGAGCATTGCTCAATTTAGTAGAAGATATAACTTGCACAACATAATATATACTCAACGAATGCATACACAGAACCACTTCATCAATAGCGCCGAATGAAATTTACACTGCCAGTTTAAATACAAAAAAAATTTTTTTAAGCATTTATAAATACATTTTAAATAGAAAAAATTTGCCAAGTAATAAATAAAATAATTGATTTGATAATTTATTATATTTTATTTTTAATATTTCAATGTTTTAGGCAGTTCAATCGAACTGCCTGGTGTACGTGTTCGGCGCCAATGCTTCGTGTAAGCATGTGGAGCAGTGTGAGCCATATATTAAGCTCCAATGGTGTTAATTTTAACGGTTGCGAATTCACCAGCAATATGTTTTCGGTACGTTCGTCATTCGAAAACGTTTGAACGTCGTAATCAGAGGCGTTGTGCGCGTAACGTTGTACGTATCGCTGTGTTCGATTTGCGAAAAAAAAAAAAAAAAAATTAAACGTGACTCAAAAAACAGGTAACGGAAACTTAACGTTCGACATATCCATTGCCAAGGTTTCCATACCGATATGTAGTACTTCAAAATATACTACTTAAATGGGGTCGGCTGTAGTAAACGCATAGCAGCCAGTGTTAAGTCATAACACTATTAACACCGCATGACAATACGTTTCGGGTTGTATACTCGACGATGCACGGTATCGTTATCATTGCACGTTCTCTTACAGCCACCGTACCGGATGATACGTGTGTTATTATTACGAGTGTATTATCATTCGCGTAAAACGGTCGTAAATCCAACGCGGACCGATAGTGACCCGTACAACGCACTTGTGAAGTCGACACATATATTACTGCGCTACCATTATACAGGTTTCTACATCGCGCGGAGAGGCTGTGAAGTACGCGCACGTCGGGCGAGAGAGCGCGAGCGAGTGTCGACACCACAAACACAACCGCCGCGAACTCACGACCGCCACGACTATTTCTGCTGCAGTAGGTCTGGTGAATTGCTCAACGTCGGCGCACACGTATCGACTCGACTCGACACACATCTTTTTTCAGTCGTACCTACACCATAATACCGTATATACGCGTCGTCTGAAGCTGCTCATATATGTACATACATACATACATACATACATACATATATATGCACAGAAAATATATAAATACGCGAACAATCACGTTTTTCTTATTGTTATTACTATTATTATTGTGTTTGCGAAAGATCCTGACCGCCCCCCTCCTGTGTCCCTTAGTTCATTAACCTTGTCGTCGTCGTGAGTGCGCACGCATTCAATACGTATATAGTTTCAAAAACATTTAAGCGTCTAGACATCGAAGAGAGCGATAAAAAGTGAGAGAAAAGCGAAACGTATTAGTAGATCTACCCATCACCAGACCGATTCAAAAATGTTGCGCAACAACCCGTGAATCGATCCGATGCCAGGGTCAATTCTAACGTAATGTACGTATTATATCAATACTTGAAGTCAAAATAATTTGTTGACCTTCGCTCCACTTTTATACCTGGAATATATTTACCAATATATTTTCAAGTGCACAGGAGTCGCGTTTTTTTTATGTTTTAATATTTTTTCAAATTCATTTAGAGAGATTTATTAATTTGTTCCAATAATATACTAAAGAAGTCGTGTTTGATAGTAATAATAATCAAAGTACCAAGGTATTTTATGTACATTATAGTCATAAAAAATTAGTAAAGTAGTGTGTGATTAATACAGTTAGTAAATAAGAATGCTAAATGCGAGTTCAGTTAAATTTTAAAAAATACAAAAGTTTAATATATGTTAATACTACATGTGATAGAATACATTTAAACATTCTTAGTTATTTTTATTTTTGATAAATCCTTATATTTTATCACACAACAATAATATACAAATTAACCCTGAACATAAATGATTATGCAATATACTTTAATATTGTTAATAAAATCTTAAGACCACGCTATTTTTATGAAAACATAAACAATAAACACGAGGGCCACCACATTATGATGCGCTGGAACAAGCTTGTATTATTGGCGTAGTTATAGGGGGGGGAGAGTTCGGGTTCTTACCCGCCTCCCAGGACCAAAAAAAAAAGTTATGAAGTGATATTTTAAAATATTTATTGTTATATTCTGAGCTAAGAGTAAAAACATAATTTATGGTTGTGTTATCTTTATATTCATTAAAAAATGTATGTTTCTATGAATATACATTGATAGTTAATTTAAACAACTATTTTAGTACAAGCTTCTAAGAAAGATGTATGAAATAATATTTATAACAAATTAATGTTTAGCTGTACGGGTGTAATATTATACCTATGATATAACATATGATATAACAACTATGATATAAATTATTAAGTATTTGATTATTGGAATAAGGGGTATTTATAAATTGTTGGTTTTTGGAGTATATTATTTTTTTAATCCCCTCCCCCCTCCCATATAAAATTTAAATGTATGTCACTGGCTTTTATTTGATAAAAATAATTTTCACTAAGCTAATAAAATATAAATTCATAATATGATTTTAAGCGACATAAAGTTATAATATTTATGTTTGAATTCTAGTAAAAGTATTACAAATTCATAAAATATATGTTTTGAAGACACGTAAATTTGAGTATTTGCATATATTTGCATAAGTAAAGCAATAAAAATTATTTCATTCATATGTATAACTTATTTTACTTGAAATTATGGTAGGTAAACCATATTTATGGAGCCTTTAAATTTTCCAAAAAAATATATTTACGTAATAAGTTTAAACGTATGATTTTAAATTATAACATGTTCAATCATTAAATAAGTGCAAACATTTTTATTGGTATACTCTACTACTAAAATTTAAAATAATAAATTGTTGAATTTTATTAAAATAAATTATATATTAGTATCATATACGTAATATTCCATAGTAAAGAGAAAATTGGGAGTATTTGATTAGAACGGCATGTTTAACGTGTTACGATGAAAATGTAATATAGCATAAATATATTGCAATTTATAAGTCTTATATAATGTCGTACTGGTTAATACGATACTCCGATTTTTTTAGTTTCAAATTATTGATATAGTTGTCTAGTAAATTAACTAGTTTTTGTACTTAACATTAATTTATTTAATTTTTAATTTTAAAATTGTATTATTATTATTTTTTAATTTAAATTAAAAATTAAAAATTTTAGATTCTAAATGAAACTAGAAATGTATTGGTTTTATCTCGTGTTTTTTTTTTATTTATGTACACAACTTCGAAGGATGGCTCCAATCATCAAAATTATAGGAAACTTTTGATAGCAAATTACTAGTTAGGAACTTTAATAGAAGTTATTTTACGAATTCCTTATTCTTTACTTTAATAATCATGAAAAACTAAAAACAATAAAAAAAACGGCAAGATTTACAGCATAACTGTTTTCGACAAAATCGAATTTTTGTTTTCATCGTAACTGAAAAAAAATATTCAAAGAGACATACTATTTTTACTGATTATTTATATTATTGTCTACTATAAATGGTATAATTTAAAAAAAAAAAATTTTAGTAACTTATAGAAAATTGAATCTTTTATGATTTTTTAACCTTTTTTGAAAACGTCTAAAAAAATCTTAGTATAATTTTAATATTTTTATGTTGAATAAATGATAAAAATAACGAAAATCCGCTTAATTTTTGAAATCTATAATTCATTTAATTATCAATTTTTCTATTTTAGTTTTAAAAATTACATACAACTTTTAAAGTTTAAAAAAAAATTTTGAAAACTCACATTTAATTTCTACAAAATCGAATATTTTTCGAATTTTCATTAAAAGATATCAGTTATTAGATATTTCATTGTTTTAATTAATTTTATTAAAATATATGCTGTACATATGCACTTTTTAATTTTTACATCTTTTTTTTGGGTGGGGGGGGATTTATAACATTAAAAGTTTAATTTACTTTAATAAATTATTTAATTATTCTACCATATTAACTATCTTTAAAATTATAATCTGATTTACCCGACCTATTTACACAGAATGGTTTATTCGAAAGCAATGGTACATTGGTTTTAAGTTTAAAGGATCAATACAGCAATACCATTCTACTCGTATTCATATATTTCATTCATCTAAGAGTTTCACCTTATTTTATATAATAGGATGTAAATATAAATCAATTTGAATTGCAATGATAATGTGTAATTAAAACAAAACAAAACAAATT